GATTCGAGCGGACGGCGGCTTTACAACCCCTACCACGATCTTCAGATCCCCCACCGCACCCTCTACGACCTCCCCACGTCCCCGGAGTTTCTCTTCCAGGAAGAATCCATCGCCGAGCGTCGCTCCTGGGGCGAGAACCTCACCTACTACACCGGCATAGGATACCTCGCCGGGTCTGCTTCCGGCGCCTCCCTCGGCATCCGCCATGCCCTCCGCTCTGCGGAGCCCGGGGATACCACGAAGATCCGCATCAACCGCATCCTCAACTCCTGCGGCCAGGACGGCCGCCGGATCGGCAACCGCTTCGGCGTCATCGGCCTCTTGTACGCCGGGCTCGAGAGCGGGATGGTCGCCGCGAGGGATAAGGACGATTGGGTCAACAGCGTCGTCGCCGGGCTCGGTACCGGGGCCCTGTTCAAGGCCGCCAACGGGCCGCGGTCGGCGGCGGTTGCCGGCGCTATCGGAGGATTGATGGTTGGAGCTGCTGTCGCGGGGAAGCAGATTATGAAGAGATACGTGCCAATCTAGGGTTCGAGCTCTTCCCTTACTTTGATCCTTTCGTTTTCTATTCATAAATGATTAATGAGTCTATGTTATTGATATACCAATTTTTGACCTTAACATGTAAGGTGGAATGACCGGAGGGTCAAGAACGATTTGTTGCAATAAGCTTATAGAAACAATTGATTTCATAGGTTACTGTTTGGTGTATTAGGATGTGTAAGTTATCATATTTTGGATTCATCGTCTGTGAGTCGGGAGCTCATCAAGATAATCCTGTGCCATTTGTTTGTGGTAAGGATACTATTTGAAAATTAATTGTTCGGGCTTTGCATCTGTGTATTAGGATCCTTCTAATAATTTTCTTTTGTATTATGCTGTTGTGTGTTCTTTGTCTGAATTTGCCTTCTCTGAGTTAGTTCTGTTGGTGTTTGTTTCTGATGAAGTCCAAAAAAATTTCTAAACCAAATCTTTTGTTCATAACTAGGGAATAGACAGATGGCAAGGCTATCATGTATGGTGTCGTTTATGACAATACCATGAAGTTGGATTTCCTTTTGAATGAATGAATTCTATAGACTGGGCAAAATTCTTGTACTTTTTGGAAGCTTTTTTTTTCTTAGTTTTTATTAGAATTGGTTGGAGGCTTTTTGATTGTGTTAGAGGATTTCTAGGTACATTTTTCGCATCTGGATGATGTCCTAGTTAGTGCATATATTTTATTCCTTTCCAGTGTTGCTACTTATCTAGTTGGAAGGTAACCAGATTCACATTGTTCTTGAATTCTGGAAGATGCTATTGAGACTGCTAACCTGGAGGTTTTGTGGGTTTTTTACATCATCATTTTGTTAGGTTCGATGAGAGACGAAGAATCATCTTACATTATGGCATTGTTTTTTCAATTTTAACTTACTACTGTATTGACAATTATTATCATGGAATTGTTAGCAACAAAACATAGTTTCTTCTCTATATTCTTTGGCTGCAAAATCTACCTGTTAGGAGGCACATCAGCAACTTCACCATTTTATATAAGGATTTTTAACATTTCTAGCTAATTACCACATTTCTCTGATATTTAAGTTTCCTCTTCCCACGTTGGCCGTTCTTTTTCTTTAATATATTTTACCTCTTGCTCATGCATTCTTTCCCACATCCCTTCCCTCTTAGCAACTCTGATACAATTGCACAATCAGAAAATGCATTGTACTACTAGTTTTAGTTAACACTATAATATGTTGAAACTACTTAATAAGAAATGAAAACTAAAGAAAGCAGTGCACATAGTAAGTAATGTAACTTTGAGCAAAGTCAGATATTAGTTATTAGCTAATGATGAGATTACTTATTTCTAGTTTTCTAATCTCATTTTAAATAACTTGTTTTGCTAATACTATGTTCTAAAATAATATAATGATAAGGGCTATGTTGTATAAACATACATAGTATCATATTAGGCGTGCTATATGCTCTCTTGTCATATGGTGTGTTGGAGACTGAGCAAAAACCTATAGATTTACCCCGTCAGCTGTCAAGCAAAACCCTTTAATCTAGGCACATGTTATATATTGTTATTTTTTCTCTTTTCTGATGACTAGTTAGGATTAAACAACCATATATAATGTTTTCTTAATATTGATAAATCTTGTGTACAGAGTGTGGTTTCATAATGCTGCATGTTCTCTTCTAACTTTCCATCTGAGAGTTTTTTCTTTGGCGCTTATACTTTATGGTGTTCTGTAATGTTTCTGAATGGATGATGACCTAACAATTACTTTTCTTGATTAATATTGAGAACTCATCTCATATGATGATCAAAATTCCTTGTGTGGGTACACAACAAACTCCTATATGGTCTATCTCATTAGGAGACACAAAACATGTTAGGAAGTAAAACAAGAAGAACCTTTGGTTTTCTTTACACCATCAGAGACATCTAACCCTCAATTACTGTTGAAAGAATTAAGAAAGCTTCTAACACACTTTAAGAGATAGAGATGATGGAGATCTCAAATGATGATGAGGATGGAATTTCAGAATCCTATGTGATTGACAGACTGGCACTAATTTTTGGCTGGAATTAATGTGTAATGTGGGATAAAGGAGGGGGGTGGGTTGGGTTTGGTGGAGAGATTTTGTGTTCTTTGTTATGTTCAAATGTTGAACTTGGATGGAGATTGCTTCTGTTTTTATTTTTTTTTCTTGTGGTGACAGTTATGTTTAGGGTCGAAGGTCAGGAGGTACTCGTGTACCTGTGAAAGTAGAGAAACATTACTGTAGGGATAACTGCTTGCATTTCTTCAGTTTTATTTTCGACAATTATGTGAATTGTGAGTGGCGTAACGGCTATTTGAAAGATAGAAAAAAAAATGTTTATATTCATGAGCAAAGAAATAAGATGAGGAAAATTGTTTGAGATGGGATGAACAGGCCCAGAAAAAGATCATAGAATCTCTTTTAAACGAGATGAGTTGATTAAGGTTAACGGTATGAGAAGAGGTAGAGGGAGGCATAACTGAACATCATTGGTAGTAAAAAGATCTCTGATTACTCTTATTTGTAGTTACTGATATCGCCTTAGAGTGAAGATTATGACTTGTCATGTTTACAATAACTTTATCAATTGGTACAACAGTAGTATGGACAGCAAACTGTGCAATTGAAACATGGCATATTACAATTACTTTTGACTGCTCAAAGGGAGAAATTGTTTTAGATGGTTTGATTAGAAGGAAACGAGTTAAAACATGCATGATAGGGTTCAACACGAAAATACTAAACTTCAAATCTGATGATCATTTTCTATTGACTTACACCTTGATTTTCACTGATGCATTTTAAGTCTCTGTTACTTTCATCTTTTGTAATTGAACTGTCTAAATAGTGATGAGCTAAGCTTCTTCTTTTGCACGTTGACAGCGTGATTGTGGTTCTATTATTTTATATTTAATATTCATCCTTTATGGCCATAGTATTTAAACTTAGTTTTATTATATTCAGGTTTTTTCGAGTATTTACCGAAGGGAGATTTGATAATCTTGCTATATGGTTGCTAAGCAATTTAGTTGGTTTGATCTTTAAATCTTCTAGTCTTTTACTGATTCTACCCTGTTGTCGACATACATTATCTCCATCAACATAAGCAACCATATTGCAGTTGATATCTTTTCATTATTGGTCTGTCTGGTTGTTCTTTAGAATAAAGAGGTTCTACATAAGCAATAGACTAGCTATATATTATGATTGGTGAGCAAGCTTAGTTCATTGTTCTTGTACAGTCCTTTTTTCCTTTCCATGTATATTACTGTGCCACGCGTTGTGCTTTCACTTAGGTAGAATTACAGACATTTGTGGTCTATCTTTGCTGTAGGAAACTTGCGTTATATTCTGAACCAGATGAGTTGTGGGGTTGGAGACAATTGGGATCGGTTGTCACCTACTCGAGTCTGGTTGGATGTCTTTTTATTAAAACCACATGGAAGATGTCGTAGTGATGATATTTTAAGAAAAGCTTTGCATGAAAGGGATTCGAAGGAAAGAATTGTATCATGTTAAGTTATTCATACATTCTAAAAGGCATCTGATGTCCCTTTTAGATTTCAGTGGTAGCACGTTCTTCGCAAGCATGCATACTCTTTGCGACCTTTTGACGTTGGCATGGTTTAGGTGGTCGGTGTCGGTGGCCAGTAGTTCTTTTGAGTGGGATCCTGTGTCATCAACATGACTATGCCAATGGTAATTGGACCGCTTAAGGAGCAGGTGAGATCTTCCGATGTGGGTCTATTATTGACGGGGATGCGAACTAGCGAACATGCACTGTGGTATCTCCGAGATTTAACTGGGGACGTTAGATCAAGGCTTTTATTTCGTTTTCTTGGTTTCTTTGGGCGCAATCGTATATAGTTTGCAGAGGCTCGAGTTTCTTAAGAGTACACGTACCGGTGCTTGATGAAATGCCGTGAGGCATCAATCAAGCATTCATAAGTTTACAAAGGCCAGAATAGTTGATGTTATATTCTTTTATTGATAATTCGTGTGAAGATGTCACGATGATGATATTATCACATCAGAAGGCAGTAAGTGGTGTTTGGAGATGGTGTTTGACCGTGTTTGACTCATTGTTTTGGAACAACACCTCGCAATAAATATATGAACGAAATGTGTTTATTTATTTGAAAATTAAAATATAATTAGTTCGAAAAATGGGAAAAATATTCAAATAGAATTCAGACGGTCGAATAGAGAAAGGTTAGGGACAAATAATCTCTCTCTTATCCGTATAATTCAGTGATGGGGCAGTTCGATTATTTTATTTGCACACCGACCGGTGGATGGAAAAGAATCTCATGTTTCACACGTACTTCCAAATGCATTCGATTTTATTTCAAGTTTCTTGTCCCAAGACAGGAACTCGGGATTGGTCTCTACGCTGTCTCCGTGTGGTCCTCACAGTTTCCAGTTTGATAACATTATTTCACTTGGATCGAAATTCGACAGATGGGTGGGGACCATTTGGAAGAGGACGTCTCGTCGGCAATGTCAATCCCTGGCCACCATCCCACGCCGCTGCGAGTGGCCAAACCCAGAGCTCAGGGCTCAACATGGAGGCCGGCAGAAGGTGGGAGGAGATGCAGGTGGACTGCCTGGTCAATATCTTCCGCCGGCTCGCCCTCGACGACCTCACCCTCTCGGTGCCCTTCGTCTGCAAGTGCTGGTGGCACGCCTCCCTGGATCCCTCCTGCTGGAGGCTCCTCGACTTCCGCTCCCTCGACTTCATGCCCTGGAGCCCCTTCAGCCGGAGCTTCACGTCCCTCTACCGCCTCAAGACCCTCTCCTTCTCCCACTTCATGCGGCTCGTGGTCGACCGCAGTCGCGGATCCGCGGAGGAGCTCATCTTTCCCTTGTCCTTCGGCGCATCCATCCAAGACCTGGTCTACGTCTCCATCAAGTGAGTGCAAGTATGGTCCCTCTTTCTCCTTCTGCCCTCGTCGTCACCCATGTCCGCCGTGTTCAATGAACATCCTCTTCCCCTTCCTCCAAATTCTCAGATGCCCACGGTTAAAGTCTCTTGCTTTGCCTGATAACTTGATGGTAGAGGATGATCTCCGCATCCCGGATCTCGTCGGAAGTTGGAGAGATCTGGAGCAGCTCGAGATGGAGACCAAACCCTCCTCGTTCCTGCGAGTGATCGCCGAGATCGGCCGCGACTGTCCCAAATTCTCCCGGCTCAAGGTGCGCGGTCTGATCGACAAGGAAGACGCCAAGGCCATCGTGGATCGTCTGCCGCAGCTGAAGCACTTGGAGCTCAGCAAATCCTACTTGACCAAGGATGAGCTGGTGGTGATCATAAGCGGCTGCAGAAAGCTAGAGAGACTGATCGTGAGGGATTGCCTCGGGTTTCAGGCAGACGACGAGGTCCTAAGATTGACATCAAGAATCACCAGATTCGAACACGAGGGTTCCAAACTGCTCGATGATTATGGATACGAAACGGATGAATCGGAACAGCAGACGGGATTTTTCTACTGGTGATGAAAACCGTGTGTTCTTTGTTCTATTTTTCTCCAGCGGACACGCCTTCTCGGAATAAATGGATTATAATAGTGTTCATCTCATCTCTTTCCTAAGTCACACAGCTCAAAATCTTAGTAACTAGTACAAGCATTTATATTAAAATCTCAATAACGATGAAACTGAAATATATAGTTTTATTTATCTTAATATCATCGATTTTATTGATAAAAATATAAAAATAAAAATATAAGAATAATTTTAATATTTCGATCGATAGTATCAGATGACATTGATAGTGGTATCACGAGGGGCCATAGATGGTTGTTGCGTATGGGGAGAGCTACGATGAGAGTTAAGGGTTGCTTTATATATATGTTGACGTCGACGAAGTTGTCGAGTAATTCTTTCATCGCTTTGCATTTGCATCGACGGTCCTTTCATAGCTCGACAACAATGTCGACTTTGACGTAGATGTAGAGCGACGAAAGAGTCGCTCGGGTGGCTATTGTAGACAAAGAGAGTTGAGGGTTGCGTTGTATTTACATCGATGCCAACACAGATACAAAGTTACCCTCACCTCTCACCATTGCTTTCCTTATCCACAAAACTTACTAGAGCTGTTCTTTTATTGCTCCGCATTTGCGTTAGCGTCGATGCACTTGCTAAACAACCCTTTCATCACGCTGCATCTATGTCAATGTAATTACTAAGTGATAAAACGATCACCAATTCAAATGTCAAGCGACCCTTTGGCTACTCGACAACTACATCATTGTTGATGTAGATGTAGAGTGACGAAAGGGTCATTCGACATCTACACTAGTGCTGACATAGATGTGGAGTGTTTGAAAGGATCGCTCGACAAGTATGTCGGCGTCAACGTAAATGTAAAACAGCTCTTACCTCTCACTGTCACTCTCCCCATCCATAACAATCACTTATGGCTCCCAATGATGACATAGTCCGCCATCATCAATGTTGTCTGTCATGTCACCGTCAATCAGAATATTAATTTTTTTTTACCTTTTATCTTTATATTTTTATTAATAAAATCGATAATATTATGGTAAATAAAATAAGATGTTTCATTGTGTTGTGGGAAACAACTTTGTGCCGTGGCCTCGGGACAAACGCGGCTCGGTCCGGGTCCGGATGACGGGGGATCTTCTCGTGACGGGTTTCGAGTCCGTCGAGGTGGTCGCACTCGGTGTCCGATTGGGACGGGGTCGCCTTTTCCTCCGGGCAGGAACTCCTCGCCCGCGCGTCCAACGGAGACCTTCGGCTTCGCTCTTGCACAAAGGTCGGGTCGGGAAGCTCGACCCGACCCCTCCGACGATCGAGTCAGAAGATAGTGGAGGGGATTTCTAAAGAAGAAGAGTTTTTTCTTATCCGCCAAGCCCCCATTTTCTGTTCGGAAGCCAGGGCTTTTATAAGGAAGTTTACTGTTGTTTGATGTGCCCGCTTGCAGGGGGCAGGCTGGTAGCGTTTGACATTAGCGTTGGCGTGGCATGAAGAACCGAGCCTGAGTAGGCGTTAATGCGCCTCGGCCGGTGTTCTGGTCCGTTTGACCGGGTGCTGTAGCGCCGATCGAGGCGTGAGGCATCGGCTAACGTCAGCCGAGTCTTATCGTAATTTCTATCCTCCTCATATTCCCCCTCGGAAAGAAGCTATGTGTCGATCGTTGTAACGGGAGTCCGAGGCATGGCTTCAGCTTTCAGACGGGCTGGCCGCGCAGGCGCAGTCTCAGGGGGCGTGTAGCCGAGGAGCACGACGCAGGCGGGTTGGCCGCGCAAGTGTGTCTCGGAGGCATGAAGCCGAGGAGCACGACGCAGGCGGGCTGGCCGCGCAGGTGTGTCTCGGGGGCATGAAGCCGAGGAGCACGACGCAGGCAGGCTGGCCGCGCGGGTGTGTCTCGGGGGCATGAAGCCGAGGAACACGACGCAGGCGGGCTGGCCGCACAGGTGTGTCTCGGGGGCATTATTCGAGGAGCATGACGTAGGCGGGCAAGCCGCGCAGGTGTGGTCTCGGGCCGAGGGGCATGACTCAGGCGGGCAGGCCGCACAGGTGTGTCTCGGGGGCATTATTCGAGGAGCACGACGTAGGCGGGCAGGCCGCGCAGGTGTGGTCTCGGGCCGAGGGGCATGACTCAGGCAGGCAGGCCGCGCTGAGGTGGCCTCGGTCGGTCTGTGACCGAAAGATGCAGCTCAGGTGGGCAGGCTGCCTTGAGATGGACTCGGCAGTCTATGGCCGAGGGGGTGCGGCTCAAGCGGGAAGGCCGCCCTGAGGTGGGCTTGGCTGGTCTACGGCCAACGGACATGACTCGGGTTCAGAGGTCGCCCTGAGGGGGGGGCTCGGCATTTTACGGCCGAGGAATGCAACTCAGGTGGACTAACCACCCTGAGGTGGGCTCGACAGTCTATGGTCGAGAGATGTAGATTCAGAAGATTTTAAGCCGGGGCTAACCACAAGCCGAGAGGGGGTTAGGTAGATACTGAACCTTGGCTCGAAAGAGGCTGAGGCAGGGCTTAGATTTCCTTTCATGAGGACTACATCGGGTAGCCACCGCGGGTGCTTGACCTCTCTTATGGAGCCCGCGATCGGGGGTCGTCGCTTCTCCTCATGGCCGCCCAGGCCTCCGCCGCGATATGCTGGTTAGCGCGCTGGAGCATCTCTGGCACCGTGGTGGGAGGTTGCTCTACGAGGGACTAGAGGAATCTGGAAGGTCGCAGGCCTATCATAAACGCTTGCACTAACAGAGAGGGGTGAGTGTCTGGCAGGCCCCGGATTTGCGTGGCAAAACGATCCACAAAATGGGAGAGGGGCTCGTCCTCCCTTTGTTTGAGTCCGAGGAGCATTGCCGTGGAAGGCTTCGGCTGTGCATAGGCCACGAAGTGGAGCTCGAATTCCTTGACGAGCTGGTCGAAGGAAGCGATCGTTCCGGTCTTTAAGGCGTCGTACCACGCGTGGGCCGGCCCTCTCAGAGTGGTAGGGAACGCTCTGCACATCAAGGCATCAGAGGTTCCGCATAGCGCCATTTGGGCGCGAAAAGCAGCTACATGGTCCGAGGGGACTGTTTGATCCCGTATCTCGGGCATGAAGGGAGACCCTTGGTGTGCGTCCTCCCCAAGCTCTCCCTTGGACCTGCGAACCTCTTTCTGCACCTCGTCGAGTCCCTGACCGACGAAGCGCAACTGGGTCCGCAGATGGTCCAAAGAGAGTGCCTCGGGTTCCGGGCAGCCGCTCGGGTTTGCCATCACTAGATCCTCGAGTGGGGCCAGTCAGACCCGAGGCAAAGTGGGGGGCTCCGGAAGTTTTCTGTGGGCCCGAACGGGCGACTCGTATTGTCATAGTGGTTGGACTGCAGGCGGGTGCGCCAGATGAGGAACAAGCGGGATGATGGTTTGCACCACATCCATCAGAGCTCGGATTTGACGGGTGAGGTCCTGGAAGGCCTCGGGTGACACGGGCGTCGAGTCGGTGGGGGCGTCGTCAGGCGGCGACAAGCCCGGGTCATTGAATATTCGCCAATATCGTTCAGAGGTCGTGGTGGGGTGATCGTCATGATGGTCTCCGTGCGGGGGATGTTCCCCTAAGGCTTCAGTCGGGTGCGACCTGTCAGCCGTGGGCTCGTCTGGGCCGCTTGGGTGATCACCCGACATTCCGGGCCCTCCTTCTAGCGCCAATCTGTCGTGGGAAACAACTTTGAGCTATGGCCTCGGGGCCGACGCGATTCGGTCTAGGTCCGGATGACGCGGGATCTTCCCGCGACGGGTTTCGAGTCCGCCGAGGTGGTCGCACGCGGTGTCCGATCAAGATGGGGTCGCCTTTTCCTCCGGGCAGGAACTCCTCGCCCGCGCGTCCAGCGGAGACCTTCGGCTTCGCTCTTGCACAAAGGTCAGGTCGGGAAGCTCGACCCGACCCCTCCGACGATTGAGTCAGAAGATAGTGGAGGGGATTTCGGAAGAAGAAGAGTTTTTTCTTATCCGCCAGGCCCCCGTTTTCTGTTCGGAAGCCAGGGCTTTTATAAGGAAGTTTACTGTTGTTTGATGTGCCCGCTTGCAGGGGGCAGGCTGGTAGCGTCTGACATTAGCGTTAGCGTAGCGTGAAGAACCGAACCTGAGTAGGCGTTAATGCGCCTCGGCCGGTGTTCTGGTCCGTTTGATCGGGTGCTGTCACGTTGATCGAGGCGTGAGGCGTCGGCTGACGTCAGCCGAGTCTTATCGTAATTACTATCCTCGTCACACTGCAAATCGATAATACATGCCGTACTCATGTATTACTCAAAATACATGAGTAATATATGTAATTAGCCCTCTTACGGGTCTCTTGTCGGTCACGTGAAGGCCGACAATCTCAAACATGCTGCTCTTCACGAAGAGATGATACGTACGGCATTAACTCGGTTGCAGCTGCAAATAAGAAGGGGTAGGATGGCATTAGAAGCCATATACTAATGGCAATATAAACATATCTAAGCAAATTGCAGGAGCAACAAAGCAAATGGGCGAATCTCTTAAAAAATACCCTAATTTTAGTATTTTCGAAACATGAACCTTCCTTCTCAAATTTTAAAAACAATGATCTCTAAAAGGTGATGTACCAAATTTGCCTCATTGAACAATATCGGTTGAATCTTGGATTTTAATGATAAAACTAATTGATAGTATTTATGATTTGATCTGTATTTTTGAGTGACGTAGGAAGCTTCAGGGAGAGACAATTAAAGTAGGAAGAATCATGTTGGACCGGAGAGAAACATGTCAGAAGATTGGACGTCGAGCCAAAGGATTGGTCGACGTATCGATAGAAGGCTTCACGCCATGGGTTCGGGCATTGGGCCAATAAGAGCGGAAATTACACTAAGAAAATCGGAGTTATGGAGGTCAACTAGCCAATTGGGCAATAGACCGCAAGAGAAGACGATGCGTCTAAGAATCGGATGAAGCGTCGATGAACCAATGACATGCCTGACAACATGATTCAAGCTTTGTAATAATTGTCTAAGATTGAAGTAGATTTTAATTATGCAGGATTAACTATGATAGCAATCAAGGCATAAAGCAAAATGAAGTTCCGGAGTCAAGAACGAGATTTCGTTGGGAGTTCGAGAGTTCGTCGGAAGTTCGGACGTTTGTCGGAAGTTCTATTGGAATTAACCGAGAAGTTCAGGAGCTTGCTAAAGAAGCTCATCGGAACTCGTCAAGAAGATCGTCGTGAAGTCCAAAAGCTTACTAGGAGTCTATTGGAACATTGCCGAGAGATCGTCGAAAGTTCGCCGGAAGCTCGCTGGAAGAAACATAGGTTTACTGGACTTATTTAACTTATTGTATGCCTTAAATTTCGTAGTTAGCACATAATTCGGAAGGAATTGGGTCAACCTAATTAGGGGTCAGTTGGGCCCAAGTTTGGGCTATGTTGGGCTAAGTGAAAAGCCGGAACAGTGACCCAATATGTGGCATCGTCATGGCACAGTCTCTGAGACTATGTCAGGCGATGGTATTGCCCAAACTCAACCTCCGAGACTGTCAGGCGATGGTACCGCCTAGCACAGGCGATGGTACCGCTAGGACCCGGGAAACCCAGGATGAGAGTTTTTTTTGCTCTAATTTTGAATCTAATCGAGGGCTATAAATACTCCTTACTTCTCAGTCGATAAAGTAAGAGAAGTGATAAGAACTTATTCGAAACTATAGTGAAATAGCTTGCAAAGTTGAGAGTTCACCTCCATTGTTTCTAAGTGTGAAAGTTTGTAAAAAGAGCATGAACCACTCGTGAAAGTTTTGTAATGAGGTAATTGATCTTTGCCCTTCAAGAAAGATAAATAGTTGAAGCCGATGATCTTATTGGAGGAAGTATTGGGAGTGGATGTAGGTTGGACGATCGAACAATTATAAAATTGGCGTGTACTTCTCTGGTTTACATTTTTATTGTTGTCATTTATATATTACAAACTGCTTTACTTACTTTTTCAATACGCTTCCGTATGCTTTCAATTTCAAGTTATATTTCCGAAATAGACTTTAATTGAATGAAAGATTTTTAAAACCAATGATTTTATCCACTACACTAATTAACCTCTCCCCCTTTTAGTGTCGACTCTCTGTTAACTTGTTTATCGTCAATATGTTGTACCGATCAAAGTCACCTTATGGATTCAGCTTTTTTTATTTTAGATTTTGATTATAAAATTAATTAATGAGTTTGATAAACTAATATATTTTTGAGACAATAGACATAAAAAATACTTTAATCTTAGATTTAAAAAATCAAATAGTAACTAGAGAGTCGAACATCACATCGAAATATTATCATGTCAAAAATTGGACATCGAACCGGAGGAATAATCGATATGCTAAGGAACGGACTTTATGCTAGAGGTTCAAATATTGTGTTTAAAGGATCAAATATCACGAAGATTGGATGTCATAATAAAGTCGATATGCTAAATGATGAATGATATGTTAGAGTATAAAATGATATATCAAAAATTCGGACGAAGTTTTAAAAGATTGTATGACATGATAGAAGAGTGGACAATGTGCCAAAAAATTTTGAAGATGTGTCGACGTACTAATAATCACTTTCTTAATTATTTATTATTCATGTTTTTCATGAGTAGTCATCCGAACACATTACAGATTTCGGCGTAGGGAGGAGCATTACCTATTAGTAGAGTTCATCGAGGATCTTGAGTTTTATACATTTTTAGTTTAGCCATTAAGACTTAAACTTTTTTGTAAAACATAAATATTTATGAATATTTAAATTTTATTTTAATTAAGGTGATTACTAATTTTATATATGCTCTGAGTTGTGATTCTGTGCAAGCATATCAGCATGTATTTGTAAAGGAAAAACAAAATTGGGCTCGAGATACGATAGTTATCTCCTTATGGATTACAAATGCGGGTGTCTTCTTTGACGACGACATCATGTCATCAACCATAAAAGTAAACTATTAAGATTTTTCACAACATAACTAAAAAATTGAGGCACATATATTTAAATAAGATTCATAAAGGCCAACATATCCTCTAAAAAATCAAGTAATGTTTTCTTTAAATATTTTACTCTCAACATTTTAAGAGTGCCAATTACACTCAAAATTTACGATTTAAAAAATAATAAAAAAAGATTATTATTTTTTATATAATTTAGAAAATTCACGCAAAGATATTTTGAAGTAAGGTATTTTTTATAGCATTCAGCTACATATTCAACACTGCAAAACTCTTGTCTTTGACTTCTGTTTCCATTGTCATTACCAAAGTATTTTATTTTGACATGTCTCGTGGTCATCTGGGCCCCATACTGCTCCATCTCCTATAGACCTGTCATTAGGTTCGCTAAAAAAAACAAAGGAGGAATAATTTAATATTTTTGAAAATATGAGTCACTATTTGGAAATTTTGAAAAGGGAGATTACTATTTGAGTCACATATTTTAAAGGGCAAAGATATTTTTGAAACGGATTAAAAATGCAAATTTTCCAATTTAGGTATCTTTTTACGTGTCTCGTGGCCATTTGGACCCCACAGCGCTCCATCCAAGAGGTGGATGACGCGTGGGAATGCCCCCCATAAGATGAACGTCCCATTGACTTTTGCTGGAGCCATCATCGTCGTCTTCTCCTCGTCTCTCTGGAATCCTCACAGAACTTGGTGGTGGTGGCACCGAGAGATCTTTAGGGATGAAGAGGTTGTCGAAGAATCTGTGCCTCGAGATCTTTCGCTTGTTGGACTGCACCTCCCTTGCCGCAGCTGCCCACGGTCCGTCCTCGGCTCCCTTCCTGTTCGTGGTTCTTGCTTGATTCTTTCTTTTCGTTCTTCTTCTTCTTCATCGAAACTTTCTCCATACGGAATGAATTCCTCAATAGATCTACGTATCTTGTTGCGATCATACTCATGTCCTCGGAATTGATAGGAAGTTATCCTTCTCATAATAATGCTTTCTGGAGTGCACTCAGTACACAAGCCGTATCTTTGTTCTCTTTCATGCACTTTTTCTACCTAATTTCTAATTGCTAATCTCATCCATCTGGTTAATTTTCTTTAACACTCTTCATGGCGATGGAAACTGTAGTGTGCAGAGAGTGGAGGAGATTGGCATCCGATGATGAACTGTGGTCCGAACTATTTGAGAGAAGATGGGGAAGCGACTGTGCTGCATCTTATGCCCCGACGGGTTCCAAATCCTGGAAGGACGTTTATGCAGTGAGACTGGCATCCGAGGATGATGCATCGTGGTACAGACTCTTTAAGAAAAGATGGGGAAGCGGCAATGCTGTATTTTATGCCCCGAGGGGTTCCAAATCCTGGAAGGATGTTTATGAAGCGCACGACCGATGTGATCGGCTTGACCTGTAAGTTTTCTCTTCTCATCCTTTGTTGAGTGAGGTCTCTCTACAGCCTGTCTTCATTTCTATGCTCAGAACGAAACCATTGGATGTTGCACCTCAGGGACTTCAAGCTCATAAGAAAAGGTGGAGATTACTATGTCATCCGCGGGGACTATATCCATAAGTATGTGCCCTCAGGTGAGGGAGCAAAGCTGCCACCGGGATTTGGTGACAGAAAGAAGATTGATTCTGCTTCCTTGGAGGAAGATGAATGAGTCCGTGCTGGTACTACATGTTGTGCAGCTAATCTTGATACAGATACAAACTGATTGATTCTGCTATACTCCTGTGCGTAATGAAGTCAAAATTTGAGCAACAATTGTCTTAAGCAGCACAAGAGAAGTCTTCTGTTGTTGGGGGAGAGAAGACTTGGAAGTCAAAGTATAGATACTTAAAAATCAACAAACCATATAATAAACCGAATAGTTAATTTAAAATTAATTATATTATGTATATAAAAATTAAATTCTTCTATTCAACTAACCACAATTCAAGTATAAGCCCTTTTGTATATCCACACATATAGATCCCGAACAATTTCTTTCATCTTTTATTTTTAATATCTCTAGATTCATTAGAGAGAAATTAAAGGAATACTCAAAGCTTTTTCTTCATATATATATATATATATATATTCATAAAATATACAAATTTTAATTTTAATATATATTTTTTTCACAAAAGGAATCCTTTCCATACTTAGGATTTCTTGTCATGTTGAATAATCCAAAAATACTTATCAACCCTAATACAAACCAATACTAATGTGTAGATTGTTCATATCATTCCTTAAAATATACTTTATCATATTAACTATTGGAAACTCTTCAAATGTATATATATATATATATATATATATATATATATATGAGAGAGAGAGAGAGAGAGAGAAAGAAAGAGAAAGAGTTATTATTGTGGTTGATCTATTACCATACGAATAGACTGTACATGTACAGGCTTGAGACACTGTTCTTTTAACGTGTAGGGTGTAAATGTCGTAAGGTTTTAGGATTAGTTTATAAGGTGTTCTTTAGGGGTCAGTGTTAAAGGTTTAGAGGGTTAAATTGTATATGATTGAGGTTTACAGCGCATCGGCTGTTAAATTTGGGAGACACACTCTTAACACAATATTACACTTTGAAAGACTCTCCCTAAGAGAAAGGCTGTCAGGTGATGGATGGGAGTCAGAGATGTGACCCAATGCATGACGTTGGTCCTTAAGGTTTCGAGGCGTGAGGTTGACGCAGTCATAATTTCCACTGTTGTTGTGTTCCTCGTTTTCCTCCCAAGCAAAACCCAAAGAGACTCATCGACCCATACATACCTCATGAACCCTAAGCCTCCATCAAGCTGAACAGCCGTTCAAGTGATGATCCCTACCTTCTACAGGTCAATGCCGCACGTATTCTATTCCCCCAGCTTTCGTATGTGTCTCTCTTCTCTGCATCTTTGTGTTGTTTGGAACTAAACACCAGTGTGTGATTGGATCTCCACAATATCGCTGCGAGGAAACTTGCACAAGTGAATGATAAGAGAGGTGTTCCTTCGTTCTTGATCATGCTGCACAAGCCAGCTCTCACGCAGGCTTCCAGAATCCTCGAGTGCAGGCTTACAGCTATCAGATCATATGAGATGACAAGTGCTTTACATCACAAAGATCTGATAAGTTTATGTGGATCTCGGAAAACGAACTATACAGTGTGAGATGGCACCCAAAAAATTCACGACAAACTGATGGGTAATACCTCCTGGTTTTTCGACCTTGACAGCCCATCAGAAGAGTCAACAGTGTTCTTGTTGTATATTGCGATGAAACCTTTGTAAAGCAAAAGGACTCGAGAACACTTATCAAGATGGGAAAGATTTTGAACGACTACGACCTGATAAGTGTTCGTATGGTTTTACTTGAAGCACAAGAAGCACCAAAAAAGAGACGGAGAAGAATTGGATGGAAGATGTACATTTCAACATATATATGGATTGTTGTCTAGTTGATAGCCATCTGCTAACTTGGAAGATAAAACCATCGGTTGGTGAAGTAGAAACCGGATGAGAAGAACAAACAAGGGTTATATTTAACAAGATCGATAAGATCTGACCTCAGGAAGAGGGAAAAAGGAAGGAAGAAAGAAAGAAAGATCCATTCTTTCTGAATGCAATGATAAGGTAATGATGAAACTCTTTTTTCTTCTTCCTAGAAGACAGAACGAAAGAGCTGGTCAAGATCCACCATCATTACACCAATCCTTTTTCTCTTTCCTTGACGATCAGAAAACAAGAAAACCAAGATAGCAATAAGAACAGCACAAAGGAAACCGCAATCAAGAACAAGAAGGTGAAGAAGGCAGACCTGTGCATGGATGTCAAGATTACCCATGAAGATGGAAGCTGTGATTGGGGGGAATGAAGCCTGGTCCGAGATCTCCCAGATGTAAAAGAAGAGGAAAGAAGATACAAGATCTATTGATCTCATGTTATGGACGCCTCGAGCCAGACGACATTCCCCTCAAAGGAAAAGCTTCCTCGTTCTTCCTTCTTTCTCCCCCCCTCAAGTCTCGGATTTCAGTCTGCGGATGGGAACAGAGAAGAGACCCGAGAGAAAGAGAGAGAGGGTGGTGATGATAGGTGAAATGATTACCTTAGAGAGAGAGAGAGAGAGAGAGAGAGAGAGAGTACTTGGGGGTGGAGTCTGGAAATGGAAGATAAATAGCAGTAAGGGAAGGGGTGGTAGAGAGAAGAGGAGTGAAGCCCATAAATTAAGCTGCAGGTGACCCAAACCTCTACAGTTGGATTTCAGAGCTGACCCATAGGTTCTCTCTCTCTCTCCTCTTGGATTAAAACTGGTCTGCAGCTTCTTGAGAACATTGCCACAACCCATACATTTCCGTCTATCCATCGACGGCCATCAAAACCCAGGAAAAAGTAAACGTCGATTCCGCCACCCTGCAGTCTGCAGCTGTGCAACAAGGTACTGCTATACGTAACAGTGTTGAACTATGGAGAGAAGACGTCCCTCTCTCTCTCTCTCTCTCGCTTCGTCTCCTGACCTCGGAATTCGAAACCTACTCCACCGTTCCACTTGCCCGGTCCTCCCTATAAATAAACATCGTCCCTTCTCTGAGGAAAAAGCTGTGAAGAGTGGTTGGAAAGGATCATTGTGATTATTGTATCAGGAGGAGGCCGAGAGACCTCAGAGCTTTTACTTGCACCGCAGCAGGAATATGATCGATTTGATGCCAAGTATTAGATGATGATCAAGGTGTTCCGTGTGCCTTGGGATTTTGAGCTCATAGAACTTCGAAAACAAGGCTTCTGCAGCACGCCTTCAGAAAGAGAGAGAGAGAGAGGTGTTTGGTCTTTGATATCAGTGCTCCGTGCTTGATTTCCTGGTTGCAGATTTGAGAGACGACCTTGGCAGTGACACACGAGCCCAATGTTTAGCTAGATTGAGACAGCAGAACAGGTCATGGTGCATCGTTGTGGCAAGCAAAGCCGAAGAGGCGATCACATGTCGCGTCTTGCGCGGCGCTCTTCGTGTAGGGCGTGGAGTCACCACTCTGTAGTCCATGAACGCAGCATGGTGTTCATGGTAAGCAATGTAGCTCATCTTGAGCTCCTTTCTCTGCTGACGTTCATCATGCTGCAGATGCTCTCGAGCTCTTTGGAGTGGTCAATGGAGCTTGTGAGGGGTTGTCTGTGATCCGGATCTCAAGTCCAGAGCTACCATAGGCTGATGTAATCACTACCCTGTACCTGAATGCCTCTCTCTCTGACCCTGGAGAACCACAAATCCCTACAGTCTGAAGACCCAACTAAGAGCCTCTAATTATTCTGACTCTGACAAGACCTTAAAGAACATAGGTTGATTGTTTGATATCCTTTCTTGACAATGTTTGACAAGACCCAACTAAAGCTCATCAAGTGTTTTTTCATGTGATCAAACTTGATTCTTCTTAATTGCACAGCTTAATTTGTGCTTGTATGATTCAGATTGATCATAAAAGAGGCTCTTCTTAGCTGGAATGCGAGTTATGAGCTTGTTCTCTCTGTTAAAAGCCCACAACAGATCCAACTCTTCGTTCTTAGTTTGGGTCAATATACAGGACGATGCTTCAAGTCAACTCACATGTCAACTTTTGGTGCCACTAACCCACGAGCCTTACTCCAAATTTGTGTCAGGATTTCAACGACATGTATAGTCTCCGTCTCTCCTACATTCACTCACTCAATTCCCTAACATCCAGAAGATATGGTGCCCTTGCTATAACGGAGATCATCAGAATCGCAATGACTTTTGACTGAGGACAGACCTGCGATCAAAGATGAAGCAGCAGGCAGGAAAGGCAGCCTTTGGTCCCCTCGATTCATAAATGATGATAACTCCAGAGTGAGCTAATAATTCCGGAAGTCAGCAAAGTCTTCTCGCAGAAGAGTCAGAAGGAAGGTAATAGTGTTCCCCACCCCCCTCAGTAAAGGCCAGTGATGAAACTGAGTCACGACCTGTTGTAGGTTATAGGTGATGGATGCATCCATCGATTCCACTTCCTCGAAGAGAAGATCCTGCGATGACAAACATGAAATCCAAGGACTTTTCCTTGGTTTCACAGCAATCTCATGTTACCTTGAGGCGAGGAAAGGATTCTGTATCTTGATTCCAAGTGTTGCCAGGGGACTCTGTTCCATGACTTGGTTCTTGAGCAGCAAGTTGCAGTGAGTTCACTGGCTAGAATGTCTTCGGTACTTCAATCCACACTCCATCCATGCTTACCTTTGGACAAAAGCTGGATTGGATTCCTCGAGTTACTGAGCAAGATGCTTGTCACTGAGTAAATCCAAGTAGGGACCATGCCTGCCATGGATGCAGTGGGGGATCAGCTTGGCCATCGAAAGAAGAAGTTCATCTATTTGCCTAACACATCTAATCTTCTTCATCATCATCATCCAAGCTTCCTCCCATCGACATAGAATTGTTTTGAGAAGATCCAACAAACTATATGTATATATATGTTACCGAGATGAATCTGCTTTGACCAGTGTAATTCAACAATTGGATTCTTCTTTTCGTGGATTTTTGGGTCTCCTAAGCTAGGCAGAAACACACACTGGTCCACACTTTTGTCCCCAGACAGATCCAAATCCCCTAAACCACACCAAATAAATCCAACAACAAACGAAGAAGCTTCTTACAACACACACACAAATATACAGCTGACACACTCGAGCACGCCAAGAACAAAATGGAAAACTTGAAAGAAGACAAGGGGCAACAAAACAAAAATTTTATACCTGTTTGGAAAAACCAGAGACCACCGAGTCGGTAGACCGAGTTAGAGAATCGGCACAAAGAAAGAAGAGATTTCTTTTTATGGAAGAGAAATCTTTAAGAGGAGGAAGTAATCGTTAATGGTTAGGTTTAGAGCTTGTAGATGATAAGGAAGCAGGGGAGCACGGCTCTGGGATCCAATACCACAAGCTCTCCGTTCCCCACGCTCACCGACTCGGCCGCCGAGTCGGGGTTCGACTCGCCCCTCACCCGGCCAGCGATGACCCGGCACACCAGCATCGACTGTCGCCCGGCCCCGCCGCCGCCGTACTCATGCGCCCCGCCGCTCCCCGCGAATGTCCGGACCCCCTCCACCTTCCTCCCCGCCGAACACACCGCGCCGCACGCCACGCCGGCGTCGTACACGCACCCGGCGCCACCCCCGCAGTAGAACCGCATCATCTCGTTGCCGTCGGCGGCGCAGCGCGCGTCGTTGTGTGCCCGGGCGCGGACCGCCGCGCGGTACTCCTCGAACCGGACCACCGTCCGGGCCGGGTTGTGGACCCGGAAGAGCATCTCGATCTCGCCCGGGAAAGCCGCGGCACCGCCGCCGTTGCCGGAGGAGGAGGAAGATGCCCAGCTCGAGCTAAAGATTATCTCCACCACACGCCGCGAGCAGTGGCCCGCCGGCAGCTCCGCCAGCGTCGGGAACGGGTTCGCGTGGGTGGGCCCCACGAGAACCCGCGCCGTCTGCGGTGGCTTGGACGGGCGGGCGGGCCTCGGTCTAGTGTGATGCTTGGCCCTCGTTTTGGACCGGTGCTTTTCGGCGAACGAGGACGAGGACGACGCCGAGGAGGGGCGCTTAGGGACGAGGGAGACGACTTCCTTAACGGCGTGAGAGGAGTTGCCGCAGGAGACGGAGGCAAGCAGCGGCTTCTTGGACGACGGCGTCGGGGGATAGACGACGTCCTCCACGGCGCTAGACTTGCAATGCAGGGACTTGACCCACCCGGTCGCCATGTCACGGCGACGCTGACGGCTATGACAGCCAAAAATGGCAGAGAGGGAAGGAGAGCATATAAGAGATGATACAAACAAAAGATGAAGAGAAGACGAGGGTTAGTATGGTGGGATGCTGCTGTTGGGGGCGGGGAGAGGAGATGGTGGTCCTGTTTGTAATGTATGCATCATTTATGCTTCTGCTCTGCTCTGCATTAGATTTTGTTGTGACTAGGAGTTGTTATATCTAATACATTCATACTGGATCTTATGGAGAGGTTCCCCTCTCTCTCTCTCTCTCTCTCTCTCCTGGAACTGGTCTCTGTTACATTTACACCTCTTTATTGCACTTAGCTTTGACCTTTTCTCTTTGGGTCCAGAGACTGAAAACATTAACATCTCCTCTCAATTAATGTGTATGCATGTATTCATTCTTTCATGCTCTTCATCTGACTCCAAATTCTAACATTACTTCCATTGTCTTTCAACTTTGCAGGGGAGGATGCTGTTGCCAATTCGGACCCATTCCAAACCTACTACTACATAGCCATAAACACTGTATTTAGTTGGCTACACACTGCTCCAGCAGATTTGATGTAATCTTCGTGCAGCTAAAGAATAAAATCCAACCTCTGAAATGGTATTTGCAGCTAAAGAACTAAGCAATCATATTCTCATGTCATGTGCAGGAACAGTCCACACAAATTGCATGGAGGAGGGATTCGTCGGTAGACGTGACATCAACAAGCCAACGCCCATCCCTTTGAGAACTTTCTTCGGTGGTCAATGAGATATCTGAAACACGCAATGGACAAGAAGGACAGCGCCAAGGAAATGGCATGTGGAATAGACTAAGCTTATTGGAGTCCTTTGAAGCCTTTTCTTTTGCTTTCTGTGAGCTTCTGTGCGCAAACTCTCTCCGAATCCTCCTCTATTGATTTTGCCACCTTTCTGAAGACAGGAAGAGCGCCTTCACAGTCTTCCTCTTTGGCAGGTGCATGTGTGTTGCAGGTAGAGATCCATCATAGGCTTGTTATTGTGCACACTCAACAGTAAGCAGGTCTCTTGCTGGTTAATAAGAGGCCTGGTGATGGAATTGAAGGCCTTCAGAAACCATGGCAAGTGCAGTCAAAGGTGATTCACTCCCCCCCGTCAGAATGCTGTACTGAAGTGAAATGGAATGGACCAGAATAATGAATACATTGTAGTTGTCACAGACAAACATGCACGACCCATCACTGCTGGCGCTGGTTGCGAGGATAACCCATTAAGCATGCAATTAACCTTGATGCATGCTACTTTGGTCATCTTCTTCTTCTCCAACCGGAGGAAGGAAGCTCCTCGATGAAGAAGAGGGTCAGAAGGTGAACCAAAGTTTGAGCCAAAAAGGTAAAGAGGAGTTTCTTTTCGTGTAACCCATCACTGCTTTAGCATCATCATCATCAGCAGTCGTGGAGCTCGGAGCTTGTGGGGGACAAGGCCACGGGAAAGACGACAGCTTTGAGATTTTTGGCATGATGAAGCGATGGAGTGGGGCGGTGTTCAAGGTAATGGAAACTGGAACAACGGAAGCCTGTTTGCGTGAGGATAGTTTGAATGGCAATGGAAACCACTTTAATCGAGGTGAGGGACAGTCGAGCTTATTACTGTCAGCCTTTGTTCACTCACGCCTACTTCGAATCGCAGCCAAATCCTGCATTTTGGGAAGAGGACTGCGTGTCGATGCATCGATGGAGGAAATGAGTGTTGTGAGATCCCTTCAAGTCACCATCTAAAAGGCCCATGGACCTCAGCCTATCACCAGTTGTTTGCAATGATTGAGAGCTCAGCTGATGGACTCATTCCAACATGTTTCTGATCCAGTAGATAAGGGTTGGATTTAGTAGACAGACAGACATATCATCACCATCAGTGTACAGTTGATGCACGACAATCATGTGCTCAAGTTTGATTCCAAGCAGAAAGTGACAGGGTGTCCTGTTCATCTCGTGAGGGTCTCCTGTTAGATCAATCTCCTTCCCCCTTCTCAGAGAGTTCACTGTTGGGAAGACTGCAACCATCTGAGCTGCAGGTAGGGGATGAGAACTTATGTTGGAAACAGATTCAGATGATTGGACCTTGAATGGATCAAATAGGTGTGTGCTGATTCATTCAGAGAACTTATGATACAAGCAGTTCTGTTCTTTGAACACAAGAAAGACCAGTATGCTGGGATAAAAAATTTCTGTGAACGCATCACAAGTTGTTGCCACCGAATGAAGTGATCCACCAAACACTGCATACATTCTGGTATAAAGTTACAGCCATCATTCAACATCCAAAGACTACATTTATTCCACTCCAAAGTGGGCAGTCTGTACTACCCCACTAGATTATACAATACAAGTGAAGCTCAACTGCTGGACCATTCTTACACTCTATATGAAGCTAAAGAAAAGCAACATCAATGAGGACATCTTTTGGAAAGGGTGAGACAAATCTGCAACTGTGAACATCTCAATTGTTAATAGTGAGTTTATATACATCAAGAGTGAGACTATAGTGAGTTTATATAAATCTGCAAATCTGGCACACCATGGATCATGTGTCTACTGTCAAGAATAATTTCTGGCAGTATGCTCTCTCAGGTGTGGTGAGTTGTATCCACAATTCCTATGGCTTGGAATTGAAAAGATGAAATCCAGAGACAGCCTGCATCAACAGAAAGAAGTTCTTGCAATGTGCTTTTGTAATGCTGTACTTTCCAACTGGCTGCGTCCACCCGAAACCAATCCTCTTTACTAAGTGGCAGTGAAGGTCAAGTCCCTGCACATCTAGCCAAATGCAAATTAAGACTTTTAGAAGGCCAAAAGCAACAAATCCCGATCACATGATCTCTTCTTCAATGCATCAGTTGTAAAGTAGACACTAAAGACCAGATGTACCACACCGGAAGCCTCTGATCAGAGACAAAAATTGATATCATTGGATTTTGTTGATTTCATATCCTTGCAATCTATCTAAACCATCGGTGAATGGTGAATCATGATGCATCTCCAGATTGTTTTGTCCAAAGAAGAGAGAAGGCAACCAAAACAAGGTTCAGAAGTGTTTTGTAGTTCGATGTTTTTCTCCGGGTCTCGTTAGGGAAAACTTTAGATGTCAGATGTGCAAGTGGTAGTATGAAAGTCATCAAGTGGAATCACCATGAGCCATGCATGATGTTTCCTGGTAATAAAGCTAATGCACATCTCGACAACCATATGGTCCATGCAGCGAATCCACCATTCTGACCCTTGCTGAGATATCTGATCCAAAGCTCACAAGTGATGCAAATTTGCTAAACAAACACATGGAACTGTCACCTATAAAAGTGGATCTCATAAAATGTTTGCTATTTCCAAGAGTTAAATCATTTTTGGCACATGGACGAGACAACTTACAGCACTGCAGTTATCACTACCAGATGAAAGATCATCATCTACCGATGTCTTCAAGCCGCCTGATAACTGCTCTGATATCTGGTCGGAGAGCAGGTGAAGGAGAGCAACAAGTCATTGCAAGTTGAAACAGCATCAGTAAACCTTCTTCATTAGTGGAATTCTGATTTATACTATCCTCTAGGAGATTGGAGCTAAAAACATCCGAGACTTTATGCTCAAGAACTAAAATTCTCAGGGAGGTGGGGAGATGAAGGTCTTTGGACTGCAAGAAATTGTTGGTGAGGGGGTCCTTTTGAGTGAGCATTTCAAGAAATACCACCCCCAAACCGTAGATATCGGTCTCTCTGCTGGCATCTTTCATCTTGATCAGCTCAGGTGCTCTGTAACCCTGGGATGCCGGGGCTTCAAGCATCTCTAGGGCAGCTGCGGGATTCAAGATGATGTGCAAGCCGAAATCTGAGAGCCGAGGCTGGAAATCAGCATCAAGTAAAATGTTGTTCGATTTGAGGTTGCCATGGATTATGGCCTTCTCGTACCCATTGTGCAGGTGGTCAAGCCCCCTTGCGACACCACAAGCTAATTTGTAGATAATATCCCATCTGTGTGCTTCAGCAACACCGGCTGTGAATGGAAGAAACTGTTAAATTCCATGAGTAAAACTCAAGTGTGAATCAAAGGACTATGTATACCGAACCAAACAATTTGAGAAACCAAGTGTAGAACAACCAAATAATATAGCCAAGCACAAAAGCTATCTATATATAAGATGGAAAGACCTAAATCTTCAACACCCAAATTTGTAGCATATGTCAACCATTTGTTCCAAATCATTCTCTTTTTCTCCCTAAAAAAGCCTCTGTTTTATTTCTTAGTACAAGATTCTGGTCCAAATGAATTACAAACTGACAAATGCATGACAATTCTGCCTCTCCAAATTCAATCACTGAACATAACATATAACTCGAATGCCAAATCTAAGAGAAAATATTCAAGTAGCTAATATATAAAACAGAAGATAAACACAAAAGAACGTAAAAAGGAGTACAATGCATATCAAAACTATTCTAATGACAAAACTCATGCAAAATTCTGATTAAAAATGATTTTAAAGTTACATTGCAATCTTAAATGCCACAAATGAACCCGAAAAATAGTTCAAAACTTATGAAAAAAATGACAGAAATCACACCTCTTAAGAACTGAGCAAGAGTTCCAGAAGCATAGAACGGATGCACGAAGAGCTTCTCCCCTCTCGGCCCCACGTACATGGCCCCCGTCGGCACCAGATTCGGGTGCCGGACTGACCCCAGCATCCGGACCGCTGGCAGCACCTCCTCAATCCGCCCGATACAATCCGGCCGGACAAAGCGGAGCAGAGCCACCGACTTGCTCCGCCGAATGCACGCCCGATAAAGAGTCCCATAGCTCGACTTGGCGACCACCTCCCCCGGCGCGTCCAAGATGTCGTGAGCCGTCAAAGTCTCCCAACCGGCGAACTTGATCAGCTCTTCCGTCACCAATTCCTCCTCTACCGCGTACCGAACTCCGCCGCCGTCCTCCAAAGAACCTTCTTTCGTTCTTCTCGACAGAAATCTCCTCCGAAAACAATGATGCCATGCGTACAAGAGGAGGAGGATAAGAAACGAGCAGGATAAACCAAGAAAGACCTTAGCACCGTGGTTCTTCCCCATATCCTTCTTTCTGACCTTGATCTAGCTGCGATACCTCGAAAAAGACTTCACTTTTGCCTTAAAACAAAGAGAAAACAGAGATTTCTTTTTGTTGTTGGAGTGAGGATTAGACTAGGAATGCAGAGACGGGAAGCTTCGGATGCGGGAGGAGGAGGAGGAGGAAATGAACAAAAAGTGGTACCTTCCGTTCTTGGGAGGAGGATTCGATGGAACTTTTAAGGGGGAAGAACCCCAGCGATGCCTTGGGGAAGCAAATGGCCGCCGAAAGACTAAGGGGCGAGGGGAAACTGGTTGGGTTATCATCGGTAGCGTGGTGGGTCACACGCGGAGCGTTCTGGTTTGCTGGAGGTAGACTGTGCGGTGTTCTAGGCCGTGTTTTGGTCATTCGTGGAGGAGGCACGCCGCGTGCGGACGAAAGCGATCGAATCTTAATATTTGTTGCGTGAACAAGAAGATTCGGGTGTTAGGGTTTAGGTACCCCAGAAGATTCCGGTGTTAAAGTACCCCAAAGCAGTGGTTTCGGTACGGTCACGATGTCCTCTACAACCACGTAGATGCTACATGTTTTGTATCCTCCACAAGATTCAGAGGTGTGTTCGTCAGAGAATACAAACTCCGTATTAATATTAATCTCAGATAATTTTTCTTTAGCATGTCCTCTCTTAGCAAGAACTCAAGCAAACGTAGAAATGCCACATTATTGAATCCAATTTGGCCTAGATGTTGTGCTTGGGAAAGAAATGTGAATTCATGATTACGATAAACAGGGGAATAACATAAATGGAATAGATAATGACTGTAGTTATGAAGTCACTCAACACAACACAGTAGCATTTATCCATATACAGCATTTGCATCACCGTTGAGTGGACGGAAACAAAACCAAGGAAACGAAAAGTGTTACTGGAATTGTCGGCTTATTTGCTGATTCAGTAAACAGCGATGATCATTTCTGAGCTGCTCCTGTGTGCATGGCATTTGATCCAGAAATGCGAGAGCCTAGCAAGGGCTGCTGCTTGCCTAGCGATTTGCAGTCTGTACATTAACCTCAGCTCTGCCCACACAGCATTGCCCACACGGCCTCCTTCAATGCTCCCGTCATACCCATCGAGGTCAAATGCTCCAAGGTTTCTAGAGAAAAGAAGCATTTGTGCCTTCACAACAAGGTTTTCAGAATAGATGAACCTTCCTTTTTTTAGCACCCTGAGATGGTAGAAGTCTTGGACGGCCTGCAAGACATAAAATTCACAGGAATCAAGTTAATGAGAAGAGAGGTTTTTCTCCATTTATCATGCTGCTCGAGCAACTCGAGCACTATTGAAGGTACGCTTATCAAGACATTTAAAGATGCTATCTGATAAAAGGCTTGCGAGCAACAAATCTTACTTTCCTCTGTGAAGAGGCTAAAACTACTCTGGGCCTGGTCAATTTGACATTTTGGTATACTACAGTAATTGGTGTCATGTTCTTATGTTGCACCTATAAAATGATATTTAATACTGATCATTGCATCATACAAAACATAAAAAACTTTTCTAAATAAAATTTGGAAAAGCCAAGAAACAGAGAACAATGGTTGTGCTGCGTCCTCGATCTCTGTTTCTTGATCATTCCTACAGATAGCATTTTCTTCAAAAAAATTGATGAAGAACCAAAAGTGCCACATTACAACAAGAAGAAATGAAACATGAGCAAAGAGATTGAAAAATAAGGACCATAGTATTTCGAAGATAAACAAGAAGATGATTCTCTTGTTCAATAATTAAATGTTGGCATCTGACTCTTAACAGTAATCCACCTGCATTTGCTGGCATCTTATGCATGGCAGCTACTTTTGTGCAAAGATACACTTTGAGCATGACTTGGACAAATTTTAGAAAGTACATTTGTGATTCTAACTCTAACAGTAACAACTATTAAAAAAAAGTATTTCACAACATAAGCAATTCGAAAACATAAGAATAAAATTGATAATGCGTCTCAACTGCAACTGCAAGAACCTTAGTTAACCACTTTACAAATTCAGAAGAAAGTTGCAAAAATGTATTCATGACTATGGCATGCAAATCTTTAGCAGGAGCCTCATGACAAATCAAGTACCGATAATGGAGATAATGTAAATAAAAACACTTGTGACGTCTCAAAGGGTATCACAAATATTTGTGTGTTCACAATGAGCAAGAGATGGTGGCGCTTACAATGGATGAAGTCCACAGCTTGGCATATATCTCCAAGTGATGAAGCAAAAAGGTAATCTCTTGTTGGCATCAGCAAATGTTCTATCCCATGAGCCTACTCAGAAGAACCAAAGATTTAATACCAAAACGAACACTTTATGAGTTCATAAAAGTAGTGACCAAAGTAGAAATACATTTTCAGTAAGAAGGGCATGCTACTTGATATCATATAGAGAAAAATGCAATAACCATGGAGTATGATGATGGTTCCAACTTGGGAAGACAACCAAAGTACTAGCAACAAAGATAACAATATACAGGAGTTAAAAATTTCACTTACCTTTTAATATGAAACAAGACTAAGAAACAAGCAAAATATCACAAAAGAGAGAAGAGAACAATTATGATCAAGGATGCTTCACAAATAAAATATATATTTCAATTACGAAACATGGTATCTCTATTTGATGTGAAAGAATCTCCAACTTTTGTTTCCGCATGATTCATAAGTTAGATAAAATCTCTTCTGAGATTCAACAATGAAATTTTAAACTCGACAGATAATTACTGAGGTTACTGGACTTTAAGCATTTCTTCTGGTGACATCAAACACTGGCAGAATAACCGGAGGCCTTGAAGGAAAAAAAATATGGTGGAAGATGATGATATAATTTCAAAATATAATAATCCATTATGATTTGCAAACTGAACAGAGTAAATTGATCTGAACATCATATCAAATGATTAAAAAATTTGTTACAGCTGAAATCATTTAAAGATAATAGAATAAAATTTCTGTTGAAATTTCAAACATATTGAATCAACTCTGATGACTAATTGTATAGCTTAAAGATGCAAGTGAACTTTGTTTCCAAAAACGACATAGTAATTTACTAGTGAAGAAAAAATGATCAGGTTTAAGGATCCACTAATAAGTGAAAGTGAACTTGACTGAGGAATAAGAACACATAGTATCATAATAAGATCAGTCAGATCTATGAAATAATAGAAAACAAATTGTCTTCTCATTTCGTAGAATCTATAGAGCAAGAACAAGGACATAGAACAAGTACATAATTTGATACAAACACATTGACATGGAAAATCTTATAAAAGTATGACAAGATGCATCCTGCACATGATAAATCAGCATCTCCTTCAATATACGAAGAGGTGTTATCTACAAGTCAGACACTTTATAATAATATGTTAACTTATAAACCAAACAGCTGGGAACATTATGGTTCATTATTATATATGTTGTACACCTAAGAAGCATAATAACTGCCGCAATAAGCAAAAAATCACTATATATATATATATATACACTGACATGTGCATAGATCTCTTATGTAGATGATATAAATGCCTTACATGTTTTCCATATGTTAGCATACCTGAAGTACAGGGCTCTTGTAGATTTGCTGGCTATAAAGGGCTCTTGAACCCATCTGCTCTCCAATGTGAAGTGTTGCCAATCAAATAAGGCCTCTTCCATGCTTGGCAGGAGGGCTTCACATCGATAGTATTGGAGACTGACTCCTTGATATTGAAAGAATGCATCACAAATGACAAGACTTCCCATGGGAGATAAGGAACCTTCTGTTGGACATTCGCTCCCGAGTCCTCGAGTTCCTTTCTTTTGCGTACAACATTATACATCAGCGTCGTGTAGAAGAGAATCCGAGCCTCGACTCCCACAGCCCCCCTCTTCGCATCCACAAACCCAGTCCTTGGGCCACGAATCCTCCAAACCAACCTTTCCCCCTCTCATCCTCCGACGCAGTCCTCATCTCCTAATTCCTCAATCCACATATATCCACACCAATTTTTTCAGCCTAAACTCAATCCAGAAAAAGAGAAGCAACGGCGTCGGATCAAACAGCCAAATTGTCCACTATCTTTCCAATCAAGAACAAAGAGGAGACCATCTAGGGTTTTGCGACGGTGGAGGGAACTGTTCAAGATCCGGGGAGCAGTCCTCCTCTGCCACAAACAATCCCCGGTTGCGTGGACTTGGATCGAAGAAGCGATCTCTCTCTCTCTCTCCTTGATTTCTCGTCGCTCCTTCGCTCCAGTAAACAACCACCAGCTGACCTTCTCGGCCACCGCTCATCGGCGCAACAAATTAATACCAACGAGGTGGTCAGGACGAATAACGATAGTTGATCGGGGGAGAAGATTGTATGGACGTTCGAGATCGTGTGGGTCCCGCCGGTTCCTCCGTTCGCGCTTACCGGTCTCGAATGACGCGCCAAACGGAAGAAAGGAGTTTCTCTATTCGTTGGAATGTTTGGGACCCACAAGCTCGGCGGATCTGTAAGTCAAAAGCGACGTCGTGTGCCCCATGTTGATGTGGTCGGAAAGAAGCCTCCATGTTAATGGTGTCGAACACAAACAATAGAAAATACATAATAATCTGACATTCCAAAAGCGATATTTTTAAGAAAATGAAGATCTAGTCTTTGAGTTTTTTGTCTGGGAAATAACTCATCATAAAGCTCACAACAGGATATATATATATATCACAGTCCCATAAGTGAATCGGCAGGATCAAAACAGTATTGCAAGATATGGAAGTGCAACAGTGCTGATCAACCGACCATGGTGGTGCTGCTCTGATTAGTGGTTAAGATCGCTGAGGAATGGAATCAAGAAACAATGGCTCAAGCGGGAACGGCGCCCATGATGCGGCGGTCTGGCGGTCATGGTTGCTGTACTGATGGTGCTCCGAAGGCTGCGGGTTGGCCGGCGAGGAGGTGGTGGCTGGATTGGAGACTCGCTCACAGGAAGGGCACATAGTGAGCGTGGTGGGAGGGGTCATTTGCATGTAAAGCTGGGGCGACAGCTTCAGGGCTCTCAGCTCCTGGACTTCTTTCTGAAGCCTTCTGTTCTCTTCCGTCAGGCTCTCACAGCACTTCTTGAGGAACTCGCAGTCCACCTCCGTCTGCTTCAGCTTGGTCCTGCAACAACCCCATCAATATTGTTCGGTTTAATCCTTAAATGTCACTCTCATATCTACAATATAAAGACAAATGAGGATCTATGTATGTTGAACACCTTGCTCTTCTGTTTTGGAACCAGACTTCCACCTGCCTTGGCCGCAGGTTGAGTTGTTCGGCCAATGCTAGCTTTTGCTTCTGCTCACCAAACAGAGACGAGAACATTATCTACGCAGCTATCATTTCGTATCATTCGCTGTTGTAGGACTGACGGGAAGAGAAAGAGAGAGAGAGGAAGAGGGGAGAAAGGCTTACGGGGTTCAGGGTGCTGTGCTTCTTGAAGCTCTCCTCGAGGACGGCGGACTGATCCGTTGAGAGACGGAGCTTCTTGCGGGAGCCCTCGCCATCCTCTTCGTCACTGACTACCCTGAAGCAGGCTCGCTCAGCGTCGTGGTCGTCCCCAGCGAGGGCGTGACGCTCAGCCCGCTTGCCGCCCACGCTTGAGACCGCGCTGTTGAGGGAGGACGCGCCTCCCTCCTCCTCCTCCTCCTCCTCCTCACTGACCTTTCCTGCTGTCGCAGCCACAGACGGCGCCCGATTCACGTCGATCATTGTCAATAGTGGTCGCGTCTCTCCTGCTCCACCCACGTTCGAGATTGATCCACCTGCAACCAAGATGTAACGTGTCACTGTTTACCGATAGATTTTAGCAAAAGTGAAAACGGCAGCATCAGATCTACCGAGTCAAAAATGAACAAGCCTGAAACAGTACCTGAAGGACCGAGGAGGCGATGGCTTGACATTGGCCAAGAAGGGGAGGAAGAAGGAGCCATGAGACTGAGACTAGGAGGGAAGTAATTGGTGGAAGTGTTTAAGCCAAGGCTTAGTGCTAGATCCTCTTTTTCCATCATCATCATCGCTGTGTTTGTTTGCTTACAACCTTCCTTCACTTGTCACTCTACTTCCTCTGCGTATTCTCAGCGTCACTGGAGTTCTTTGAGATGACACCACACGAAAAGATGGAGGAGAGAAAGCAGCCGAAAAAAGAGAAGAGTAGACCGGAGGAGGGGGTGCTCTCTTCTCCTTGGAGAATGGAATGCGGCAAGGGATGGGGGAACGGACTATATAGTAGTTTGTGCCCTCTCCATTGCGGCAATGATGACCTGTGTCAGAAGCTCCCCATTTCTTGCAATCATAATGCTGCTACTGAATCCATCGACTGTTCAGATTAATGATTTGTTCTTATTTCCAAAAGTTCAGTCTCGACAGTTCCATCACTGTTCTCCGTCTCCACGCGTCACTGAGCACCATAAACACAGGGCTTTTCCTCCGGTTGACCATTGACCGATTCATGCTTCCACGTAGTTCCACAAAATATCACCAACAAAGTGGGTTTTTTTTCCCTCTGGTAGAATCTAATGTGACAAATTACAAGCGATAAGAACTTTAAGATGAAGAAAAGGACTGGTCCTCTTTTGTCTTCCACAAAAGTGGCACGAGTTGACCGAGTTGTGTGCATTGACCCTGAACAGTCTCGTGAATCCAAAGATGCTACCAATCTACGTGCATCATTTGCTTAGCCTTTTGAGTTGTGCAATTATCACGGTGTGTTGATGACATGGGGAACTACCACTCCATTCCCCTCCCCCATGCCATGGTAGGTGTGGCCAAGCTTCAACCAGCAGTCACAACAGTCTCACCTTAACCAACTCTGCTGTGCAACCATCATCACACTATCATCATCAACCATGATCCATCCTTGCTACCAAAGTCATCTTTTCAATTGCATATAACAGTATGTATAAGAGAACAATCAGCATAAAAATAATTTTCCATCATCACGATCATGTTCTGTAAATCATTAGATAGTTGTTGAATCATTCATCACGAGTTCTATGACTTCATCTAAAAACATTAACCAATATTCCAAAAATTATCTGATGACAATCTTCAACTATCTTTCCTCAACTTCTTTCTCCTTTCACATGTAAGTGTGAGCAACACCAACTGATCCAAAAGTTACGTGAAACACCAATCCATAGTTTCTCCATCCTGGCACAGCCATGGAACAGTGTTCTTCGAGTATGATCCATATATCAACGAGATGATATGTCATTTTCCCTCAACAGAATAGAACTCTTCTTCTTTCTCCTTGCTTGAGAAAACAGCAACGTGTTCTATGTTTACTTGCAATTTTTTCTAGTGATTAGGGTGCTCACTGAGTTCCCAGGAAAGACGAGAAGAAGTCTTCCATTAGGAATACACATAGATATCGAAATTTTTGCTGCATGGATTTGCCATTTGCAAGTTTCTGAACAGGAGAATCGAATGGGTGTTGCCATCAACACTAAGGAGAGGTTTGTAAGCGAGAACGGAACATATTATTAGATCAACAACATTTTTGTAGCACTTCACATGACAAGGTGGAAGAACACACCGACAAAAACCTTTTACCTCACAGGCTGGGAATCTTTCGAGCTCCATCGGCAACGTTATATCACGAAAGTCATGGTGTTGAGCCTCGCCAACCGACTCCATATGGCCGGAGATGTGGATCGCGAACGCAACACGCACTCACGAAAGCCTTGAATCCTCGAAACCAGAAGCACCAGTCGTCTGCATGGTGCAAGAACGAGGGTGAAGGGGATGATCCAGATTCCCAGTTCCAGTAGCAGCATCGTGCAGGCTCCTCTTCTGCTGGTTACTTCTTCTTGGCGCCCGCGACCATGCTTGTGTCTGCCACCGGGTTTCCTGCAGATGATGCTTACTAGCTTTAAATGGCTGGAAGACTTCATCCACCTTCCTAAAAAGCACAGTCCAGTTGGTCATTCACGCAGAAAGACCGCCACAATTACTGCATGTGATGCCCAAAGTCGCTTGATCAAGTGAAGACACAGGTTAACTTTTGATGGTTTCAAGCTCCAGTAATTTATCGATCGATGCCCTTGGGATTGTGTGATCACATCAGCCACTTGGACTTTGGTGACACTATATACCTTGCTTGGCGTGTCTGCAAACGCAGAAGATTGCCGATACTGAAAGCGTGACATCTTCCTGTCATTTTGCTCACGAATAATAGCGTCATTGCGGTTCCCTTGGCTGTCTTGTCATATCATACAAAGTAATTGTTCATGCATCACGAGGGTGAGATAAAATAATGTTTTCGATTCATATAATACGAAGTCTGGAGATGTACGTACCACATTTGTCTTATTGTTATAGGTTCCAACACTGTTGAGCAATTCAATTATCCAGATCTAAGAACAGAAGTTTGACGAGGCATTGATCAGGATGAAAAATGAATTAGGTTGCGTTTGGATGCTTGAATGAGTGGAAGAACTGTCCCGATCATAGGCAAGAAATGAAATGATCGTGCAAGTAATAAAAGTGATTAAGATCGATTCTTCGTGAACCTTAGGTTATTTTTTGGAGTGAAAATAATATTTACTATCTTTTGAAACATTTCATGTCTCAAATAAAATATATTAAATATTTACAGAATGTTAAAGAAATTATCATTTCATTCTTTACTATTAAATTACTCAAATTATATGATGATAGTCCTATTATAGATCCCATAGAATACCGATAAGTACTTAGCTCCTTATAGTATTTATCCCTCACATGTCGAGATATCTCATTTGTAGTTAATAAATTAATATAATTCATACATCAGTCTTCCATTATACATTTGTTTATGGTAAAATGAGTATTATGATACATAAAATGGATTTTCGATTATGGACTTCTTCTTCGTAAACACTTACCGTTTTATCTTCATGCCTTTATCGATGTTGATTAGGCATATGACATTGATGATAAAACATCTACATCAACATATATTATTTTTTTTGAAACAAATTCAATCAATTTGAATTCTAAGAAATAAAAAATAGTCACAAAGTCCACTATTGAAACTGAATATCGAGCCATCACCATTATTGTAGAACTCAATTGGGTTACCAATATACTACAAGAACTTGACATTAACTCCAAATCTATATATATAATATACTATGATAATATCACTGTCACGTACCTATAGGTTAATTTAATATTTTATTCATATATAGAACATATTGTTATCAACTTTTACTTTGTTAGATATCAAATTGTCTAATAAAAACTTAATTTTGCATGGACACGATAAAAGATAATGATAGAAGCACATAAGGAACAAATCTCTGTTTTCTCATATCTTCATAGAGAATTAATCATAGATTTAAATAACTGATTTGATTTCTTGATGAGAGTGATCGAAATAATTTTTTTCCTAAAAATATATATAAATACTCTTTACCTTAACGAGTGAAATCTCAAATTTTCAATTATAATATGAGAAATTAAGAAAACTCAGATAATTCTCTCAGGTTGATTTCAGATGGAGCCCACCAACAGAGGAATTCTCAAACTGCTTGTTTAAACAATATTTGATGACCCCATCGTTTAAATTAAATTCTTCCTTACCGATAGACCATAGTCTAAAATTTATGGGACCATAAGCAAACATATTAAAACGTTATTCAGATAATAGTTTAATTTTTGTATTCAATAATAGTTCAAATTTTCATATATGCAAAAAGGCGGCGTAGGTGTAATGGATATGCTCTGTGCAGATAGATAGAGGAACGATAATTTTCGCACCCTAATTATCGATACCTATGTGTCTATCTGCACCTCCATAGGACGAAACGCAGGTTCTGCTCCTGGGCCCCAAAGCTAAACGAGACAACAATGCTTGGTAGTTTTGCGCAGGTGAGAAAGTACGTTCTAAGAGAGACGGTACAAAATGTTGTCGTCACTACATGCTGTTTGTCATCTTCCACACCACAGCGGAAGACAGTCGCAATCACTCGCCACGTAGACGATTCAGCGGACCTTTATCGCTTCATAGGAGACATACGTTCTACCATGCTTAATGGTTCTCTCTTCGTAGACGGTTCGGTGTGGGCCCATCTTAAGTTATCCAACCACATAACGGGGATGGGATTGGGTAAGAGTAATAGAGTCGAGTAATCATTTACGCTCCTCATACCATCTACAAATCTGCGTCCGCCCTCGCTTCTCTCTGTCCCCTGTTGCCCCGTTCTCTCTCATTCCCAATCCTCTCTGTTCTTCGGGTCCAAAGCCCTAAGGATTTGGAAATCGAGGTCTGAAGGAGGTTGCTGCTAACGAGGAGGACGCAGCCACACTAGCCACAGACTCCCGGACGTCCTGCAGCCACCGAGTGAAGCTCTTCGTTGTGCGGCTCGACGGATTCGTCCGGAAGAACGGTAGCATGGAGCACTTCTCCTCGCCGGATCCAACGGCGGCGCGTCGCCGATCGACAGGCCGGAGCCTGGCGACGGCGCCGCAGCGGACGGTTACGCGTCGGAGGATTTCGCCAAGAAGGGTGAGTCTTCCTTGATCTTTCGTCCCTTTTGCTTCAGTTATTCCTTGGTTTTCGTAGAAAAGGAAAAAGAATATTCTTTTAAGCTGAATGTGAGCTTTTTGAACATATTTCAATACGTTTCTTTAGTTTTCTATTATTACGGGACTACTGCAACCATAAGATTTGTTGGTAACCTTTTTTCATGAACAAAGTAGGCTGTTGGGGTAAATGCCACTTATGATATTCTATTTTTGTTTCATATTGTGGAATTCTGAAGTTTCTACTGTTCATCTATCTTGCAACACAAATGAATAGTATACCAAATGGATAGTCAGCTTCATGGGCTTTTTCATACTCAAACACAGGAGTGGTCAGTGGTCGATTCAGGGGGTTAGTGTACCTTTTCTTCGATAGATAAGAAGAGCCAAATCACCGGATGCTTGGCAGAAACCAAACCGAAAGCAAATTATACGAGAATAAAACAGATCACCAAATCAACTTTTATGGTTCGATTTGGTGGTTTAGTTTGTTTATTTTGGAGATAAAATTGAAAATAAATATTCTGAAACTTTACAGTGCATGGTGACAAATATCATAGGTTTTGTGGAGTAATGAGGGTTTGAAAGAAAAATATTATGCTTTTTTTGACTGCTGTGGTTGACAAACCATCGCATATTCGACAAAAGTCATTGGATGAAATCATATTTACTTCATCGAGGCTATCGATAAGCTAATTATTAGTGGCCTTCACTTATATAACTCAGACAAATGTTATACAGCTGTTCTTTTAACCAGGGTGTTTCCTCTCCAAATTACTCTTTATTGTACTTTTCAGCCATCTTAATGTTTCTTTGGTACATATATCCGTATCATATTCATATTTAACTATTTACACACTGCATTAAATTAAAACTATTGCTTTGTCACTACACTTTAATGTCAATAATTAGATTAATCTAACTAGAAAAATTATGTTCAATGATGACAAAATGGTACTTCCAACATACAAAAAGCACACATCACACAAATTAGTCCTTTAGCTTGTATTCATGACTTTAATCGCCTATATCACAAAGCAACAGTCTTAGCATGGCTCCAATACTCATACTCTAGTACTTCAGCTTTCATAATCTTGCAAAATCCTTGGCTAATATGTATGATATATTAGAGGAAGACAAGCCTTTCTTCTGAATAACAAACAGATGATGTCGGGTGGTGCAACAATTGATGATTTCTGATTATTGACTAACCATTGCTGCCCACTTTTCTTCTCTTGCTAAACTTCCCATCATCAAGAAGGCCATCTTGGTTCTGCTTATTTCTCCAATCATCAAATGATTCTCTAGCCATGCTGTGATGATTGTTCACAACATCATCGTAGTTCTGCCGGTTCTCCTGTACTTGATATCTTTGCTTGGAGGCTCGAAGTCCACGCCTTTCTTCGTTGTTTGTTGATTGCAGATCTGAACCAAGAGTTTCAACCAATGATACTATTAGAATCAAAGCTAAGACCTTCATATTTCAGAACAAAACTTTCACTCTTCAGTAAAGAAAAGATAGAGCAGCACAAGTCAAATAAATCAACTAGGGGTGCACAGTAGAGGTGTGGTACATTCATGCTACTATTTATAGAAGCAATGGAATAGCAAATGGAACTGCTATAGTGCAAGTCTCTAATCTGCTTTGTTTGTGGACAATCCACCCAAGTCAAGATCAATGGATGGTGGGTGGTTATATATCACTATACAAGCATATTTTAATAGCAATAATTTGCAGAGTAAAGGAAAACCTAGCATGGGGCACTGAACCTACCAAATAGGCATTTAACAGCATGCTATCATAAGCTCTCATTTTAAGTCAACCACTACTAGTTATAAAGCTTTCTGTTGTGTTATTTAGAGTATGAGGGGGCCTCTTCAAGGAAAAGCAGGATTCTTTAAAGAGAAGGATAGGAGTCAGTGGATCCCTGATTATATTTTATCATCTTCCTATGACGTTTTACTGTACTCTTGTTGGTTCATAGAGCAGAATCAACTTTAATAAAAAGAAAAAACCAAAAACAGTACTAAAATCAAGGAACAATTGCTTGCAGTATCAATGCTTTAATATAAAGAAAAGGGACAGCTACCGTTACTGTACCATTGGCAGTATAAAGTTTTTGTTGCTGATGTATAGCTCCATAGAATTTCTAGTACAAACTACATTATACATACTGTCATGATCGTGTCACCATTGCAAATTGGCTTTTTCTGGACTACTCGTCTTTACTACTAAGATCCAACATGAAGATCAAAATGATACAAACTGATGCCTACATATTCAGTTCAGTTTTGTTACTCTGGTTCATGACTGCATCTGTTAGAATGGTGCAAATTCGTTATATAGAGGTCTCTTTTTTCCCCCAATTTCATATGTGGGTTTAATTGACATCATAAATGCTGTCCTTAAGCATCAAGTTTACGCTGATATTGGATCTTCTTTTTCACATGACAGTAAATTCAATGCTTGTTCAACCACTCTCATGATTGTTTTACAATCCTAAACCAGTAGCAGTTCTGGGATAGAAGGACTTTATAATTATACTTCTATTGTTACATGAACAAATATCTTTTACTTTCCTGGACTTATTCTTTTCTGCAATTTACATGAGAAGTTTCAACATAGAACATACCGGGATCTGGCTAGTTGTATCCAATATTAAAGATTTTGCTATAAGGAGATCAATAAAACCAAACTTGAAATATTTATCTTAATTGATCTCATTTCCATCCATCTATGGCTACAACAACTCAGTTTTTGTACCCTTGGACCTTTATTCTAATAAAGCCAAATTTTCTATATCTGCATGACATGTAACTTAACAGTTACATTTTTTTTTACCTGCAAGGGTTGTGATACTTCATATACTACAGTATATTGGCAAGCACTCTATTATGTAGTACACAGCTACACACTATCAAGTACTTAACATCTTCAGTCTAATTTATGCCACCACCTCCATTTCCTTGGTTGCTTCCATCATCTCCATATGGGGGCTGCTGACTGGTGGCACCACCCCGGCTGTTATATTGATCTCTTGGTATGCTGTGATGGTTATCAACACTGCTGCCAGAATACCCAAGTGTTGTCTTAACCTTTTCCATATCTCCTCTATCTCTTTGATCCAGATGGCCTAGTTTGTGTCTAGCGGAGCTGCATGTCGCCATTATGAGCACAAGAAACAGCAGAAGAGATACCGACTTCATTCTGGGTTTCTTTTGCTTCTTTACAAGAAATATTTAGTTAAGTAAAATGGAAGAAACTGCAGATAAAGTCAGTATTCACTTGGAGTTTGTTCAGTACAATAAGAGGAAAAATGAAAAAGAGAACCTACCTAATAGAAGAACAACACTAGGGAAATTTGAGAGGCAGGCCTGTGTTAGAAAAGGGTCAGGAGATGTACCAGCTTTTATAGTGATAACTTAAGTAAAAAAAATGGTAATGTGGTCTCCACCAATTACCGACATTATTAAGTGGATGGGCTCATGTTTCCGCTAATGTGTATCTAATATAATTAAGTGAGAGGACCACAAGAATTCTGTGATGTGAAATTGCACTGCAAATTGCCCTACTTTTCACTATGCTTTGTGATGTAAAAAGTTCTCTTAAGCATCCACCTCTTTTTTTGTATAAATCAAAGGCTGAGTTATTGTTCAGGGAGCAGGTTCTGCTATTTATTTTGGAAAATTGATCCTAGTGAGGATAGATTTTGACCATTGACCTTTGTAGAGTTTTGATTTTCAGTTTTAATTTACCTTTTAATACTTGTTTGAAGTTTGATTTAATTGAAGATCCATATATAATTCAAATGTACAGGAAAAATTAATTGTAAAGGATGCATATATAGATGTATGGCTTATAGTCATACTTCAGTGAAAAGAATATGATTATAAATATAAACATCTTTGTTAAGTTAAAACTACATGAAATTAAATGCTTAAGAAATGTGTATGAATGCAAAGGATGTGAATGTGACTGTGAAAATTTTAGTGGTAAAGAGAATACAGATATATTTTCAAATTTTAAAGACAGGTCAAAATGCAGTTGAAACATCAGATTTCCTTATTAGTCAAGTTTTGTTGGTAATCATAAATTGGGCATCTGTAGGCCACCAAATACCAATGATTTCTTTCGTTAATTATGTAATATCATCACCAACAAAAACTAACTTGTCATTATTTCACTTCCATATGCATTGAACCATTTGCTGAGAATGATATCAGAGTTAGTGGTTTGGTGTTGCTATGCATGCAATTAGGTTTAAGCCATTATAGGATTACATTTTTGCCACTCAGTGGGCTGCTTCTTTTTGAAAAGTAACTTTTACTTGCCTGTAGGAAATATATCTTCCTTAACTTTACTGAGATTACCATTTCATTGCTTGTTGCCATCTAATCCTTGAATAAAGAAAACTGAGCACCAGACACTTGGCTACCATTTGAAAAATCATCCTCTAATTTGATATTACATCTGAGAGTACATTACTGATATCACATGAAACAGCTACTAGATTCTCTAGTAAAGGATTATTCTTTTATCTCCATTGCCTGCCTTACATGTTTACATGGTTTGCTTCAGATTGTATGTAGTATTGATGTTGAACAACATGGTAAGGCTCTGAGGTTCAACCTAGTGCCAAACCAGTATTAATAACTACATTTGAATGCCTGTAATATCATGATGCAGGAAGGAAATCTATTTATGAAGACCTCATGAATCATTTTACCACAACACTATGGCTATTAAAAGAACAAGCACTATTTACTGAAGCCTCATCATGAAATAACATACATAGATCTATTAATTTGTACTTACTAAGACCATGTCATGAAAACAACCTAAACAATAACAATCTCTCTATATTTAGAGGTAAGTCTGGGTACATTAACTCTCATGATCTCATATTGACGGGAGCCTCATGCAAGAGGTATATCTTTTATATCATTTTCTAATCATGGGATTAGTTTTCTAATCTTAAGGGGCTATTATTGTTCACCATTAAGAAAAGTGGACTCCCTGCATGTTCTGGATTTAACCAACTTTTAGGGAACAACCTAAATTTAGTTAAGAATGACAATCACCTACTTCCAACACCTGTTTTTTATAAATTCATCAACTAAATGTCAGATAAATTACTTAAAACCTGGAATATATTTTGGAAATAAGTTGGTATTTAAAATTAGACATCCTTTCCTAAGTATAATTTATCATCATCTTCACACATGGATTCTTCCTCTATTGGTAGGGTTCTCTTTCTGTGTATATATATAATCAAGGCTTGCGGTTTTCACCTCTTTTCTCCATTAAAATAGGTTTTGAAGACTGAAGACTAGTAGAAAGCTATAGGGATTGGGAGATTGAGGTTTTAAATGAGAAGAAATAGAGACTAAGCAAATTCTTTGCCTTTTATTCTCATAGTGCTTGAAATTATTGGATTGGCCTCTTTAGATGGTTAATGTTCTTTTACTGATACAAACTCTACTAGTATTAGCACTAGTATTTTAATCTGACATTAGTATAGGCATACTGAAAAAAGAACAGTGAAGCCAGATGGATGAAATTATGTCTACAGTACAACAGTACATATGAGCAAATAACTCTACCATGGATGAGAGGATTCTGCTGTAATCTGACAATGCCACATGGGATACAGGACAGCATGATTGTTGATTCTAATTCAACATGATGTTGCATGTTCTGAATAATCAGAAACATTTCTGATCTAAACATCACCGTCCCTGAGATAATCTTGCTGTGAACATGAGATTGACTCAGGGATTGAATAATGCCCTTGACTGTGATGCAGCAGCTTCCTAGGGTAGCATTATTGATACTCTCCAACAGCTTTTGCAAGAACTGATTGAGAAGGCTGTTGACAGCTTTTATACTGAATCCAAAAAGTTGGAACCAGTTGGATTCATTGGATGGATTAGCATTGATTAGATTCAATGGCTTCACCTACCACCAATGCAGGCCAGCTATCATATTGCTTCTTGTTTGTCTCATCAGAATTGAAATGGCCCAGTGATTTGAGAGAAATATGACTTGGGAAATGGATGGTTTAGCAATTTGCAGTTGTATACAGTATCTTACATGATTACTGAAATGTCTCATGGTATATGTGGATTACTTTGGTACAGAGATCTGTTTCATTCTTTAAAGAGTGGACAGGAGGATGGGAAATGTCCATTATGGCTGACAGTCTTCAGACTGTTCTCTTTAGCAGTTGTAATAACTTTTCATGAGTGTCTTTGTCATGCTATTTCACTTGCAGATTCAAGTATCTGAATTCTCTCTCTCGCTCTCTCAAGCCTGCAATCGTGGCTTTCACTAGGTATGTTGCCCATCCAGTCTCTTCTCCTCTGTGATTTGGTATATGCAATCAATGAGTTAGGCTGTTCATTTGCCATATCCTAACATGTACTTGGTAGGTCTTGGAAATCAACTGATGTGACTCGGGAGATTGTTCTCTTGCCAAGAGTTCAAGAACAAAGTGTTGGAGCATAGTGAGCACAGCCTGTGAGGATCAAAAGCTCTCAATCATTGCAATGGACAGCATGTAGATGGGAGCTGCATGCAAAAGCACAAACCTTTGGCGGTAAATCGAGAAGATGCCTGTGGATTCCACGTCACATAGCCTTTAACATCTGAGATAAGGTGGAAGGTATTCTCTTCCCAGTCTCTAATTATATTATCCTTTATAAACCACAATTAATCCTCTCCAAACCCCATCCATATTGCCAAGAAACGATAAGTAAGAAAAGATGAAAAGGAACACTCTGAATCAATCATAAGAATCAATTTGAAAAAGAACAAACATCTAAAAGTTAAAGGTATTTATTTCAAACGCTGTGGATAATAGTATTTGTTATTTTACGTTTTTAATATTTTATTAAGTCAACATCACTGATATTAACCATAATAAGTCCATCTAAGATTTTTGCAATGAATGTTAATGGAAGAGGTATAATAACTAGAGGATTTTAATATTTGAAAGACATATATGGTATATTAAAACTATAATGACAAATATGATATTTGTGCATTTTTACAGTAATATATAGGTAAAAACTAAAAAAAAAAGTATTTTGCCATGAGAATAAAAAAAGGAAAATAAAAATAAAAATAAAATGTGAAGGGTGTGAAAAAGGAACAAAGGCTAAGTAGATTTAATTATAAAAAGGGTGGGGTTTTGTAGTGTGGGAAAGCCCATCAAAATGCAAAGAGCGGCCCCCTGCGGCACACGTCTCCCTTTCTTTTCTCTGCTCGTGCTTTGTTCTTTCGTCAATCCCTTTCCCCTCCTCATCCACCGCCTCCGTCCCTTGCAAGAGAGGAGAAAGCAGAGAAAAAGGAAGAATCTTTTTTAGACCACCTGCCCAATCTCACCCCGCCCAACCCCAACCCTTCTCGATCTCACACGGAAGGTGGATCAAGATGTCGTCACCGAGCAAGCGCCGCGAGATGGACCTGATGAAGCTGTACGTCTCCAGAAAAAAGAAGCGACTTCAATCTGATTCCATTGGTTTTATCTTTGATTGCGTCTTTGTTTCTTGTGGCGTGTAGGATGATCAGTGACTATAAGGTGGAGATGGTGAACGATGGGATGCAAGAATTCTTTGTGGATTTTCATGGCCCGAACGAGAGTAAGTATATCAGCTACTGTTCATAAATCTTTTATCTTTCGTTTCTTCCTTGGGTTCCTTTTGCTTGCGGATCGAATTTTGACTATTATGATAAGAAGTAGTGTAGATCGGCAACGTTTGTTGGTTTTCCGGTTTGATTTCTTGATCAGTGTCTTACTGGTATGAGATGTTGGAGAAAGTTAATAGTAATTGCTTCTTTCGTTAGCTTTCATTTATCTTCCCCTTATACTTTCTCTTTGTTGGCCTGGAATAAAGTAGGTATGGTGGTCTTGAGATGTTTCGTGTATTGATTTAGTTGTTCGTTTAGATTGTTTCACCTCAAAATTTTATTTTCTGGCTGTTGTATTTAGATACAGAGGTTAATAAAAAGGTTTGACATAAATGTGCACGCTTTGGATTCTTGGATTACTTATTGGCATTAATCAGTTTGGCCATTGAGCCTTTTATCACACAACTAATGGTTTATTTGTCTTGACTTAGTAGATCAAAATTTTCATCATTGGATATTTTATCATTTTGTTTACTTTTGGTGCTCAAGGTAGGAGGGTTTCTTTTTTAATTGTTTGATCTAACAGGTCTTTATCAAGGAGGAGTGTGGAGGGTAAGGGTGGAACTACCAGATGCGTATCCTTACAAATCTCCATCAATTGGCTTCATTAATAAGATATATCATCCTAATGTGGATGAAATGTGAGTGTCTGAGTGCTGCCTTCTGTTGTTTCATATGTTTAGCGGAATATTCTTCCACCTTTTACAGTTTGTTTCCATTAGCGATGGAACAATTTCTGCACTTCACACAATTTTTGTCCTGCAAAATTTTCAGGTCTGGTTCAGTTTGTTTGGATGTTATCAACCAAACTTGGAGTCCCATGTTTGGTAATTGGACTTGACCCGTATCATTTTTATCCATGAACTCAAAGATTCACACATGCTACAATGTGCTACAGCTGATAATTAGCCATTTCTATTCCTTATAAGAATGTGCAACTTTCCTGCCAGATCTTGTCAATGTGTTTGAGGTTTTCCTTCCACAACTTCTTTTGTACCCAAATCCTTCAGATCCCTTGAACGGAGAGGCTGCAGCACTAATGATGCGTGATCGACCTGCTTATGAACAAAAAGTGAAAGGTGCGGAGTTCCCTTTTGTGCATAATATATTTGTTTACAGATTATAGGCACTGCATTTTACCAAATGATGGTAATTCTTCTGACTGCAACTGCTTTATTGTCAATTTCATGAATTATCATTGAATATTTATGGTTTCTCTGCTTCAAATATTTACTTATAGATATTTGCTTAATTCTAACTAGTTTTGATTCACCTAAAAATCAATGTAACTAGTTTTGTGGACTTAAACTTATAAGGTTTTGAATTCAACTCATTGTGCACCATAACTTGGCATATCTCTGAAGTCTAAACATGAACTCATTTCAAACTGTTAACATGATAAATTCTAGTTGACTGTAGATCCCTTTGAATGAAATTTTTAAGGCAATGAAGTTCAGAATGAATCTGGTTGCCCCTGACATTCGTCACTTCCCATTTATTTATAATGGCTTATGTACTTCATCTCTAAATTGTCAGAAGTTAGAAACATCAGACACAGTCCTTTTCTCTAACCTTCCTAATGTAGGAGTTTGCATTAAAATTTTCTCAAACATCAATTTTCCATTTAAATTCCTCATGTTATCTGCTTCCTGAAATTCAGACCTGTAAAGCATGAGGGGTCATGTGTCTATCTCATTTATGACTATATTCTCCATTGATTTTGGTACTCAGTGGATGAACAGGTGAAAACTAATACGAATTGGTTCTCTGTTGTCTGAAAACGAATTTAGAAAATTTATTATCCGAATAATAAGATGCTTGAGTTTCTCGTCATCTCATGGCACATTATTATTCTATTGGTCTTCAAGTGAGCTTCTACCAAGTTAAGAGCCAATCATTAGCATTCTTTATGAGAAGTGGGAACATCAGGAAAGTTATTAGTGAACAACTTTGGTTCTTTCAAATCATTGATAGATTGCAACAGTTGTTATGTGTTTAATATTTGTAAACAGTTATTTGTAGTAAAAATGGATCAATCATATGAATTATCTGATGTAGTCTTCTTTTGCTTTTTACTTCAAGAGTCCAGTTAAAGAGCGGAATATCTATTTCTCTTCAGTTGTTTAATAATGCTGAGTCCCTGATTGGTACTGCTTCAAGATGGCTTTAGTTTATGGTTTGGATTATGCAAGTGAAAATCTGAAGTTTATGTGGCCAGAATTTGCAATTGCTGCATCTATTTGAATTTCCACATCTAATTTAGGTAGCCATTGTGATTTCTGTTTATAGTCAGTCATGCCATGGGAGGAGTGCTTGTGAACATTGTGTAACACCTCGGTTTAATCCTCATATCATTAGTCAGTACAAAACATGGACTAACTTATAGGCTTTTGATGTCTGTACTAACATTAATGCTTAAGCATTTTGAGTTAGTAGTCCAGCCTCATCAATTTAATGTATCAATTATCTCATCAAATAGAATTGTGACAAATGATATATATTATACATGATAAGGGACTCGAGTAAAATAGATGGATGAGATATGGAACCACCATAGGTTAGGGTTTGATTTGATTTTGGACTATGTCGATCGTTGACAGTGATGTTAAGTCATTAAGTGTAGAAAATTATAACATACTAATATAATCCCACATCGGATAGGAGCAAAGACCTGAATAAACTTATAAGTGTCTGTATTATCATTAATTTGGATTTAAACATTTTATCTCATTAGAGACATGAGATGGAAGTAATCGAAACTGTTCAGTATGGGAGGCTTTTCTGTTGATCTGAATCCATCCTTCGTCTGACTAGGTGCCAAAACCTGTGCATATGCTGTTGATAAGACGAGATTCTTTGTTGTTGTTGAGTGTTTTTTCTTCTTTTTTCTTGTATTAAGTTTCTCATTCCACTTCGTTTTCCCTCATCGTCCAGAATACTGTCAAAAATATGCAACGCCCGAAGATGAAGTCGCTTCTTCGGAAGAGAAATCAAGTGAAGAAGAGCTTAGTGAGGATGAATATGATTCTAGCGATGAACAGGTGGTGGGCAAACCTGACCCTTGATAGGGCATTTGTCTGCTAATTGTACATGTCTGATTCACCTACCTACTGAAAAAATCAAATTCTTCCTTTCGTGTGCCATTGTAAATAAGCATCAAAATCATGAAGTCATTTATTAGTGCTGCATGAATGAACTTTTTTAGTGAGACCTGAAACTTCACAAAATTATTATCTCATTATATGAAGTTGTTTTATTACATTTTATGTTACCATGTGAGATATATATATATATATATATATATATATATATATATATATAAAGAGAGAGAGAGAGAGAGAGAGAGAGAGAGAGAGAGAGAGTGTGTGTATGTATGTATGTGTATGTTTATGTATATATATGTGTATATATGTATATATACATATATATATATTTATCACTTATACTTCAAGTTGATGTGAAAAATAGAGTTGAATTGGTGGCGTAACCCCCCCCTTTTTTTTTTCCAATTTCTAAGCTTTTAACTATAAACAAAATATAAAATTCACACAACTCACTCTCGTTTTTTGAGAAAACATTTTTTAGGGACTCAAAGCATTTTTCATTTTGCCTACGTAGGATTCTTTATATTGCTTTCCTCACGTATCATTTTATGATTTATGCAATCTAATACCAATTCGGTTAAAACAGGGAAGAAAAAAGAGACTTTATTTTCCGAAGGAAGCAATTATGAATAATTAGGCAATTACATATTTTTATGTCCACGTGACAAGATGACCAGCCAACTTACCGGGGCGCACGTTAGATATAGTGGGCCTTATGGTGCGCCGACCGGCCCTTTTCACCACTTCTCCCTCGGTTTTCTTTGGGGACGCAACAAAAGTCCCTCTTTTCGAGCTCCCGGGCGAGCCCTCACGCCAGAAACCCTAGGCCCCGGTTAAAATCGAGTCCAATCCGCTAATCTTCTTCCGTTTCCTTGCTCGTTGTCCCTGTCAGTCCATTGCTGCGTCAAATTCCGTATCTGAGGTTGGAGAGCCTGTGGCGTGATGGAGGGCTTCATGTTCTCGAGTCCGATGATCATTTCTCCAGGTGGGTTTCGGTTTAAACAACCTCTGATCTTGGCGTCCATTTTGGTGGATTCTATGTGACGTTTTAGATCTTCTTCTTTGTGCTATGCTCGGCGCGGTATTTGATTTGAATGCCCTACCGACGAAGTCGTCTCCCTCTGTGGAGGTTCATAAGTTGGCCTCTTCTCGTATACGTGCAGCTTTTGTGCCTGTTCTGAAGTAAATGGTTCACAGAATCCGATCGCTTGCGGAAAGCTTTTGTTTGCCGTGGTATTAACTAGCCAGGATATTACTTTTGTAGAGCTGCCATTTGGTCTTTAAGGGTTAGAGAAAGAAGAGCCTTGTGGGAAATTAAGATATATGGTCGTTCTCTGTCGGGACATTCAGGTTGGTTAGTGCATTGTTGAACAAAGTGATAGGTCTCCGTGTGAGCGTCTCATTTAATGTAATGAAAATATTTTATAATTTTTTGAAAAAAATAGATAAGCGGTCGGAAGCGAAGACGTTTGAGTGCTAGTATTCGTGTTGAGTCCTTGTGAACAGTTTGTTTCTTTTTGTGGTTCTTAGTATGTTTTGTCTTGTAATTACAATTTGTAGAAGAAACAGTGGATATTGAAATGAGATACTGCTTTAGTGCATGCTTTTGTGGCTTGGTTAGAAATGCTAGTTTCATGTAGCACGACCGTAAACCATGGCAAGGGTCTATGGAAACGTATCCAAAGTTTTGGCTGTTCCAGTTTATATCATATGTCAATATATGAACTATCAATCGTCTTGGTTGTTCTTCTCCACTTCCAAATGTTCTTGTAGATGTTGAGTCTTATGCTGTTTGCCTGTTCATAACATGGTTTGGTGCATTTAATGTTCCCAAATTATGTCGTGTAAATGATTCTAAATGCTGAAAATTTTGGTCGATCGGCGTTGTCTATAACTGCATACCTTCACCTGATCTGTTACTTTGTGGTTGCAGTGGTATTTGCTTCTTGCCATGTACAATGAGTGTATACTATATGTGTGCTTCCTGATAAATGCCTCTGTCTTGGCAGTTGATGTGGAGCCTCGCATTGCTGATGTCGATGAAATGATAGAAAGCTCTGTTGGGAGAGAATTGTTTGAGCCGATTTTGGAACCATATGAAGGCATGGAATTCGAATCTGAAGAGGCTGCCAGGGCATTTTATCATACATATGCATCTCAGATGGGTTTCAAAGCACGCGTTAGCTCATTTATCCGTTCAAAACGTGACAAAACAATTATTTCTCGGCAACTTGTATGCTCAAGAGAGGGTTTTCGTTCAACAAAAGATACAAATGGTGAAGGCAGAACTAAACGGCCTAGAATAATAACTAGAGTTGGCTGTAGAGCTATGATTATGGTGAAGAAGCAAAGCTCTGGAAAATGGGTGGTCACAAAGTGCGAAAAGATACATAATCATGTTCTTGGTACACAAGGGAAAGTGGTGATGCTGGATTATGATCCATATCTCCATGAGGATGAAGAAGTGATAGAAAACCCAGTGGGGAATGAAACAAGTATGAACAGTGGAGCAATAAGTGATGAGATGGTAGTCCTTCCACCTGAGGGGGAACCTGGTCTTGAACCTCATGAAGGAATGGAGTTTGAGTCGGAACATGAAGCACAGATATTCTATAAAGAGTATGCAAAACGTGCAGGATTTAGAGCCCGAATTAGCTCATACTATCGATCAAAACGTGATAATTCAATAATCTCTCGGTTGCTTGTGTGTTCAAAGGAAGGATTTCGTGCAAAGAAAGATGAAAATGCTGAAGAGAGACTTCAACGACCTAGAGCTGTTACAAGGATTGGCTGTAAGGCGATGATAATGGTGAAGAAGCGAGATTCTGGAAAATGGACTGTTTCAAAGCTAGTCAAGCATCATAATCATGAATTGATTCCAAGATCAGCATCAGATGATGAGTGCTCAGCGGAAGAGGATGATGAGTTAGTTGAAATGGAACGGGCCTTCGTTTTACATGAGGGCGATGCTATTACTGAACCATATGAGGGCATGGAATTTGAGTCTGAAGATGATGCAAAGATATTTTATATTGCATATTCAAGGCACATTGGCTTTAACATGCGTGTTAGTACATACTACCGGTCAAAGCGAGATAAATCAATCATATCTCGTTTATTTGTGTGCTCAAAGGAGGGATTCTATGTGAAGAAAGATATGGGTGGCGAGAGTAAGATAAAAAGACCTCGAGAAGCCACCAGGGTAGGCTGCAAAGCGATGCTTATGGTAAAGAAGAATAATTCTGGAAAGTGGGTTGTTTCAAAATTTGAAAAAGATCACAATCACCCGCTTGGTTCTTTAAGCAAAATAAGGAAGTTTCGAAAACAGAAGCTTTTATCTGGTAGTCCAGAGGAGATCCAGCTTGAACTAAACCATAATGGTAGGGAGTCACCAACTACTCGATACAACAACTTGTGTCGTGAAGCCATGAAATATGCTGAAGTTGGTGCAGCATCTCCAGATGTTTACAGTGTGGCAATGCATGCTCTACGAGAGGCTGTCGAGAAAGTTACAGCTATTAAAAGAAAGGCAGGTGGAGTTGCAGATCTTGGACCAGTTGTAGGTAAATGTAGTATAGAGAATAGGAATAAACAGGACAGCCAGATTGAGCCTTCTACGCATCTCAATCAACAATCTAGAACAAGATCACACCCTTCAGAAAGCCGGTCCAAGTCAAGTTATGACAGGCCTCCTCGGAAGATGAGAATCTGCAACTCAGGCAAGCAGCCTAGGGATCATATCGGTAGGAGTTGTCCATCAAAGCAGGTGCAGGTGAAATTTTTGGAGATAGTTCTTACTTCTTAGTATAACCTTTTAAGTAGTTCTGTATTTTTCGCGCTGGTTACAATTTTAAATTGGTTGTCTTAATCTTCTTCCTTCTTGGTTTCTCATTTGCAGTTGCAGCAGATCGACATAGTTCCTCATGAATCAGTTAATATGCTATTTGATGAACCAGTCAATGAGCTCATCCAGAAGGGTGATGGATAATATATAATCATGTATATCAACAGTATAGATGTAAATGTAATGACTCTCGCTGCCTTAAACTTTAGTTCTGTATTTAGATGATGCTGATGATTTATCTTATTTCTGTTGTGTTTTCAGGTAGATACAGGTATACTAGATTATGGTGACAGCTTGAATAGATGGCTCATGTCTCGATCACTATCCACCGGTGCTGTGTATTCAGATACTGATTGGTCAGAGCTCAGAGGTAATCAGTTTTGGACAAAGGGCAGTTGTACTTAACATGAAGGATAATTTCATCTTCTAAAATCTAAATGACAATTCTTTCTTTTCCTGCTAAACAAGTATATTATAGTCTCCAAGTTGATACATACTAGTAAGAAGAAGAATATATACAAGTTTGCTGTTGTTGTGGAGCAGATTCAGATGTAATGTCAAGGGCCTATATGTCATCTGTGAACACAAACAGCTAACCAATAGCATCTCAGTACCTATCTAAGTTGTTACCTATCAAAAAAGAAGAACATGTACTGTTGTTGAGCAGATTCAGATGTAATGTTGAGGGATTGCATCGGCCACTTTTGACGATGAACACATTAGAAAGGTTTCAGTGGGAAATCATGATGAGAATTGCATTACTGGTTGTCTTGGATTGTCATCGTCGCTGTCATGTTTCCCTTCGAAACTTTCACTTCCCATCCATACAGCAAAAGTTGGCGAGTGACTCTCTGTGTGTTCTTTTCTTATCCTGTCAAAGCAAAGATTTTTAATCGAATCAAAAGCATCCATTGATGATCTAAATCACGTTTTTTCTCTCTCTGTTTCAGTTCCTACCACTCTCTTCAGCTTAGTTGACTCGTCGACGCCACCGGCTCTCCTTCCGCAGGCTGAATTCAGAGCCTGCGCCCTGCCGAACAGGGTGCAGGACTTTCCTCCGATAGAAGCGAGGGGAGTCCGCCCGTTGCAGCTGACACGGGTGATGCCCGGCGGGGAGAAACTCAGTTCCGTGTCTGGGAAGAGACGGTAGATCACACGTAGTGAGTGCATGCTTTTGACGTGTGGAACAGGTTTTTTATGCTCCTCTGTCTGTGATAGCCGCTCCCACAGGTAATTCCAAAGTCCATCTTTGCAGGTTATATATATACATTTATATATTTATATTTATATCAACGAACGAACGTTCATCAGAGCATATCGGACACATTAGAGTCGAGGAGGAAAGGTGTGTGTCTTCTCCATCCCCTTCTTCTCTGATCGCTAGATTTATTTATTAGCTTTGGCTTTCTCGACCATCTTCAGGCACTTCTTCTTCTTCTTCTTCTTCTTCTTCTTCATTTGATATGTTTTCTTCTTTTTATTAATTTTTAGTTTATAATTCACCAAAAAAAAAGTAAAATTTATTCCACCGATATTATTTTAAATCTTTAAATATTTAAAATATTATTCTCATAACTTCAATCCTGACTTCACAAATATAAAACGATGAAATGCAATATAACGCAGAGTTCTATTTCAATCATCTCGATGAAGCAATCTTTCATGCAAGATAATAACATGTATCCTTGCAAAATCCATATCGAGTTATTTGGCTTTTTGTATTACGTATTTGGTGGTGGTATTTGGTGTAGCTATGCTAACTGTTTCAAACGTTGTGGACGTCAGGAATTGGAAATATGAGGAAGCGTAGTCGGAAAATTGTGGCCAGAATCATTGGCCGTCTATGGCGTCTGTTTCGCAGGTGGCTCTTTTTGATGTTCTCCTTTGGCCCCATGCCGCAACACATTGCGTTCATCCTGGATGGGAATCGCAGATACGCCAAGAAACATAACCTCAAGATGGGCGCCGGTCATACCGTCGGTTTCAACTCTCTTGTCGCTGTTCTTCGATACTGCTATGAGTTGGGCGTGAAGCAGGTAACCGTGTATGCTTTCAGCATCGACAACTTCAGGCGGAAACCGGAGGAGGTTAAGGGCCTTATGGCGTTGATGAAGGAGAAGATCGATGAGTTGTTGGATGAAGACACCATCGTACACAAGTTCGGATTGAGGATCAACTTCTGGGGATGCCTGCACATGTTGAGCGAGCCGGCGAGGGCGGCGGCCGAGAGGGCGATGGCGGCCACCGCCAATAACACTGGACCGGTTCTCTCTGTCTGCGTTGCCTACACTTCCACTGACGAGATCTTGCGTGCCATCAAAAAATCGTGCTCGAAAAAGACAGCAGAGGGGTGTCTCAGATTCACTGGCGATCCAGTTCGCGACGGTGCATGCGGTGCCATCGCTGTGGCTGATCTGGAAGAGAACCTTGACAGCGCCGATTGCCCGGACCCTGACATCCTCATCAGGACATCAGGGGAGACTCGGCTCAGTAATTTTCTGCTGTGGCAGAGCACGTTGACCCACTTGCAGAACCCGCTTCCTCTATGGCCTGAGTTCTCGCTGAGAAACCTGATCTGGGCCATCCTGGAGTACCAGAGGGTCTACCCTTACTTGGAAGCAAGGAGACGTAGTCTGGCCAAGAAGCATAACTAAACCTCATTATTATGATGCTTTGCTTTCGACCGATGAATAAGTAATAAACCACCTTACAGCATGTAACTCATCACAACTCAAAACTACTGCTATATGTATCGCACATGAAAGAATCAAATGGAGATACAGCTGATGACGGTGATTGTCGCGCAAAGGGATCCAACTAGCAGACCATTTAGAAAGATTTTGTCTTTCATAAATAATGGTGATTAAGCTTTCGGACAGGGAGCACAAAACAACAGTCTTCAGAAAAATCTGCCCAAAACAACAACTATACTGAAGTCTTGCAGCAAAAGTAGGATCGGGCAAAGAGGCAACGACGATCACCTAAGGAAACTAGTAGCCACCCTTGAGGTCGTTGACGACATCATAAGGAATGGGAGTCACAGTCTCGAGCGTGGCACCTTCCACCATGAATCCGGGCTTAGGGCCCTCGGGCTGCCGTTTAGTGCTGATGATCTCATCACGGGCTTTCGCCTCAGCCTTCAGCTGGTCATTCTTTTTCACCCTAGATCGGAAATCCTCTTGGCACCTAGATTGCTGCACGTGCTCCACCCGGACATGGATCCTTTTCTTGATGATCCTATTACCAACCTGCAAGAACAAAGAGTTGTTCCACCAACGGTTGGCATGTAGAAAGGTCAGCAGTATTTTTGAGTAGGTGGCCAAGTACATGAGGCACCACCCAGTGCATAATCTGAAGTGGGTCAAATGCAAACTGCCTATTGCAGCAGGAGAGACTGTTGTGACTCAAATCATGTACAACCGGAGTAGAAAGAAGCAACGTTAAGACATGACCACCGAAATATGGGATGAGGTAACTACAACTTGCACCATCATTTATATACCATCATTCAGAACACAAACAATTTGTCTACAAAGATGCATTATAAAAGTATTAATCTTCTCTAAACTATAGATCAACCTTAGTTGCCATATTGCTCTGAACAAACAAAGGTAGTTTCATTGGATTTAAGGTTTCAGTTGGAAGACTCATAAGCTACAACCAAAAAAGAAAATGGAGTTTCTGAATACACTAGTAAACAATGAAAATCTCCTGACTTCAAAGAGTTGTGACAACATTGGATCAATTATGTAATGAGATGCATTTCCAGTTTTTGAGAACCATTTGCATCATTAGTTGTTCAAATGGTTTTAAAAAATTCACACAAACAAGAAGCTTTCTTTTTATATGGCACGATGTTCTTATGTATTCTTTATGTAGTTTATTCAATTGTTAATTCATGTAGTTTATTCAAGTAGATGTTAGTGTGACGAGAGATCCACAACTATGACGACGGATCCGTTGCCAAATATAAAGCATGTCTGTCGCCAAAGGGTTTCATCAATGACCTGGTGCCGACTTTACAGAGACATTTAGTCCCGTTGTTAAACCCACAACAATCCGTCTTAACCTGAGTTTGATCTCAAAGGGCTGACAAATATAACAATTGGATGTTAACAATGCATTTTTACAGGGGTCTCTTACTGAAGATGTCTTTATGCAACAACCCCATGGTTTTGTTCATCCTCAGTATCCGAGGCATATATGCAAACTACAAAAAAACTATTTATTCTTAACTGTGATGACAGTTACTTATTCCTTACTTGCTCCAATAGGGTTTTCTCATCAGACTTAGGCAAACAAAATTGGCATGAAGCTTAAATCTCACTTTTTTTAGTGACCTACGAGCAAAGATTCAACAAACCACACCATCTTTCCATAACCCCGAAAGAAACATAACATTAGGTTGTTCGAATCCGTAGCAAGATCAAGCCGTTTGCCCTACACTGCCTACCAACAATCACATAGTTTTTTTAGTCTATGACCTCTACAGAACATGTCGGAGCAATCTTTCCATGGATACTCATAATAACTAGATTATGCACCCATTGCTCCTGAAAGATAAGGAACTTTCTATCTTCAAAGATAATCGATCGACAAATCAACAATTGGGTCGGAAATCGGACCTGCTTGTTGACCTCGACGCCGATAGCGCGCTTGGTGACGTTCCAGACCTTGCCGGTGCGCCCGTGATAGAACTTGTGGGGCATGCCCTTGTGGACGGCGCCGTTCACCTTGATGTCGACGTAGTCGCCGATCCTGTAGGTGCGCAGGTACGTCGTCAGAGGGATGTACCCCTTCTTCCGGAAGGGACGGGAGAAGAGATCTCTGGTGCGAGAACGAAGACCATGACCCGCCGGCATCCTCTCCGCCGCCTGTCTATACGACCTCCGCTTGCCAACAAAACACGAGTCAGACTACAACTTAGGGTTTTTCCGTGGTGTTATATACTTAATAGTTATAGTCAAGTGTAGTTGGGCCTAATGGATTACACGGTCGGCCCATATAATATCATCATGGGCTGATCCATGTGAAATTACATAAAATTCAGATAACTGAACATCCAAAATTCAAAAGATTATATATATATATATATATATATATATATATATATATATATATATATATATATATATATATATATATATAAGGGTTGCATTCTGTTTCGCGGGGAGAGACTGACAGAGAGAGAGAGAGAACGATGGAGTCATGGGACTTGTCGGCGGTAGAGGGCGACGACGTCGACTTCATCGAATACTTCTAAAGCCTTGAGCCATCGCAGACGCCGATCCGGACAACCGTCGTCGCTCGTGCCGCCCCCGCTCGGCATCGTCTTCTTTAACTCCTTCGAGGACGACTTCGACGATTCCGACACCTGATGGCGTGGTCGGAACGCCGGCATGTGGTTTCGGCATCTCTGCCTCACAAACCAGGGTTTGGTGGATGTGCTGCTGCTAGTGTTCATTCTTGTTTCTCTTCTTTGGCAAAGATTAGATTGGTCTTTAGCTTGGCAAATAGTTCTGCATCGGTTGATTCGCGGAGGGAGGAGGTACATCGATGGTGTCTGAGCGATCTTGCGTAGTGCGCCATCGAACGAAACAATCGTGATCGGTATATTGCTCTCCGATTCTTGTGGGGTTAGAATGTTTAATCTCAAGCAGGAGTCGCTCGCTATTCCATTGCCCTGCGCTTAAAGATGCCTTGGTTTCTGATGCATCTCTCTATTCTTTGCTTATGGGAAAGACCCTTCATACCTAGAATTTTTGGCTTGTCATTTTTTTGTAGACTTGCTTTATGACTCATGTGGAATCAAGATCAGATCGTACTTGTGTCTAGCATTTGTACTTGCTCTTATTGTTTGCTTACCTTACCTTTATTAATGGAGTCAGTCATATTTGTGCACATTTATTTGTTATGCAAAAATCTTAGAAATTGAACAAAATATAAAATCACATTGTATAGGGCTCACTGAGTCACTTGAAATCTGCACAAGTCGTCATGTGACCAAAGAAGAAGAAGAAGAAGAAGTATCAGCACTGACTCACATCAATCAAAAGGCAGCTCCATTGTCATGACTCCCGAGAAGGATTCAAAAACTTTCGGCATTCCCCGTGTTACGGCATTGATTGCATCGCCATCCAGCGATGTACAATGATCATGTCCATCCCCACCTCCCGCGTGTCGGCATCTTGGAGAAAGTTGCGGCCCCTCACAGTCAAACGGTCAAACCAGCGTCATCCAATCATAGCGAGCCGGTGTAGCCATGTCACTTAGCGTCCACGGTCAACCTTTTGACCGTGAGGAGTCCTCCGTTATACAACAGCAATATCCACATGAGCTCTTCACCGAGACATCACATTTCCCTCTGTACTTTTCCTCCACCCGTCTCTGACATATTAATTAGACGCGAGCAGACTCAAAAAGATAACCACCACCTTCTCTCCGCCTCCGTCGCCTTCTTCTTCCTCTTCCTTCTCCGCTATCTCTGACATCCATGGCTACGAGCTCCTCAAAGCAAGGCGCAATGGAGATCGACGCCACCGGATCACTTGCCATCACCGTCGAGAGGAACCCTCCCGAGGCGCGACTATTAGAGCTTGGCATCAAGTCATGGCCCAAGTAATGAACCGTGTTCCCTTCTCTTCTTCGCCATGTGTTCCTCAGAAGATTAGCACCATACGCGCTGTGTGTTACCGTGGAGGTTATCTTTCTCTTTTTCTGCCTGTCGTTGTTCGATATACAGGTGGGGTTGTCCGCCGGGAAAGTTCCCTCTCAAATTTGATGCACAGGAGACATGCTATCTTCTCAAGGGCAGGGTAAAGGCCTCCGTGAAGGGTTCTTCCGAGTGCGTGGAGTTCGGCGCCAGAGACCTCGTCATCTTCCCCAAGGGACTCAGTTGCACCTGGGACGTCTCCGTTGCCGTCGATAAGCACTACAAATTCGATTCATCTTCTTCGTAACGCTCTCCCAGTCTGTTCATCTTCTTCTTGTTCTTCTGTATCACCAGTTGGGAGGAGTTTAGGGTTGTTAAGCTTTTCCAGTCAAAACATGTTATCAGTCAATGCAGGGCCCATTCAAAGTGATCCTATTTGTACTTTTGAATGAGCTTTAAATGCTTCTTTGACTACCACCACCTTCCCCTCCGTGTCCGAAGGGATAACTTGTGTCTTTAATCCTTTCGACTTTAGTGACATCTAAGCATATAACTGGATGATGATGATGATGATGATGATGATGATGATGATGATGTTTGAACACTTCCCTTTTGTTACCTTCTCTTTGTTTATGCCTTTATCTCTCAAGATTTCTAGGGTTTGTTCTTCACTGGTATATAATGTGGATCATTCAGAGCAGACTGAAGGGTGATTAAAGTGATGGGAAAGTTTTCGCTGTTGGTGTCACTAAGAGAGAACATACCAAAGGGCTAGGGTTTCTAGTTGTAGCAAGAAGGTCCCAAGTGATGGTCTTTTTCTGTGGTGTTTTTGGTGAGGTACTGCCTGTAATCCAACCTGCTGTGCTCGCTATGTGCGTAGTGTTTCTCTTGGAAGGATGCCCGCCTGAGATAACAGGCTTCAACCTCATGCTTTTGTCCTTGGACTGCAATTGATCTTACTGGTTTGTTTCCTAGAAATCAGTCACAGACTTTACCTGCCTAATATTTGAACCTTAGGTTGATTAATGACCATTCTATCAGCCATGTTCTCCAGAAAATATCTGGATCAGATGCTTCCTGTGATGCTGATTTGTGAAGTGTAAGAGGTAGAAGAGGAAAAAGGATCAGAGATAGGAGATGACCAAGAATTTATTGC